TAGAGGCTGGGGTCTAGGGCTCATGGAGTTTGAGCCGAGAGTATACGGTTATGTATGTGTGTATATATATATAATTGCTTGGAGATCAAGGTTTTTTATCTCTACTTCACGCAATACATTGCGAATAGAATCAGCCCAGATTCCGAAACAAATTCAAAAGCTAAACCCTACACCTTAAGTCGGGCTAGGACCTTAAACCCCAGGACTTGGGTCGGCGGCGCAAGACTCCGAAAAGAGGGTGTATGTTGGCCCGAGGCTTTGAACTTTGGGTTTAGGGACAATAACCACCGACCCTGAACCCTAAGCCCTGAAAAAGGATCGCAAAGCGCAGCATCCGGATGTCGAGCGACCCAACAGAACAAGAACCGACACCTGAGCCTCATCGTTGAAAACCGAAGGGGTACACTAGCAAGCCCTCCTGCAGCTATGTATACAACTAGCATCCAGCATTCCGGTATGTTCTTATTTTGTGAGCGCCTTTTCCGTCCGCGTGAATCTCAAACCGGAAGGGTCCAGGGTTCAGTGTTTTGGGTTTGGGGCTTAGTGTTCAGAGTCTAGAGTCTAGAGTTTGAGGTTTAGGGTTTGGGACTCCGTATGACTGCAAGTCCAGGATATGTTGGACTTGCCTCAATTGTACTCCGGTCGTTCCCGTGACATCGCTGCTGGCCTCGAAGGTGTGTTCGCCCGACATCTCCCGGAAGTACCTATCTAGGCGCTCCGTTCGGGCTTATCGTTCACCCTAAAGCCCAAACCCTGCGGTTGATGATATAGGTCCTGCATTACCCATAATAAGGATTATACCATAATTCCCATAGTTTAGGGTCCTTAAGGTAATGCAGGGTTTATATCATCAACCGTATGTCAGTAGGCGTTCCGGGGTTTATCGTTTAGGGGAAGCCAGCAGGACAGATACTTCCACCACGCAGTCCTCCATAGTCTGGGTCTGAAGAAATTTTGTTTCTCGCTTGTCATGAAAGCTGTCTTCCTCTTTTTCTCACGATGCGCAGTGGCCGTACAATTCCTAAAGTAGGGTTCCACTATCTCAACGGGCTCAGCATGACGAGAATGCTAAGCAAATATATATATATATATATATATATATATATATATATGTATGTATGTATATATATATGTGTATGTGTATATATATATATAGGGTCCTGGGGCTGAGGGCTCGTCTCTTTGTGGTTAGCTACTGACTTCAAGGCCTCGAGGAGAGTGTTCTAGTTCTCGGGTGTAGGGCAGCACCTGGACCCTGATAAATGAGCGGAAATCATAAGAAGGAACCATTAAAAAAAAGTAGGTGTAGGTTTTATAGGGTGCAGGTAGGGTTCAGGATTCGAGATCTGAGCCAGAAAATCCTTACAACCCACGGCGCACGCGCTGGGCAAAGGCTGTGTAGCACTGGGCCGCTTCTGCACGCAGAGTCCTCTGGCGAGCACAACCCCGAGAGAAACATGTCAATTTCCTTCGAACCCGGGACTTTCGGGAGGGAAATTCCCGCAACTTAGGGTTTAGGGTTTAAGGTTTAGGTGTTCCAGAAACTCCCAAAATGCAAACCCCAAGGATCACTTATCCACCAGGGTTTCCTCCTTTGCCTTCGCCTTGAGGCTCTGGCATAGGCCCTCCCCCCCCCACGACACGCAAAACGGCTTAGGGTTTAGGGTTAAGGATTTAGGGTTTAGGATTTAGGGTTTCGGGTTTAGGATTTAGGGTTTAGGGTTAATCAAACAGAAACCCCCACCCCCAAACCCCTAAAGCCTAATTGTATCACATGAACCTCACGAGACTCAGCCTCACACCCTTGAAACCGCAATCCTCGAAGACAGAAACCCTAGATCCTAAGCCGCGTCAACCCCGATCATCCCTAAACCCTAAACCCTATACCCTAAACCCCGATCATCCCTAAAGAATCCTTATTGTGCAACCCTAAACCCCTCGAGGCTGAATCCCAGGCCGGAACTCCCTAACGCAGTCCTAAACCCCAACACCAAAAAGCCTCCATGCATCCCAAGCCCTTAAACCCTGAACCTAAGGATCAAAGTAGTCCTTATTTTATGGTTTTTGGCGCCCAAAACGACCCAAAAGTCCTATAATATTGAGCACTTGGACTCTTAAACCCTAAACCCTAAACCCAAAGCCCCTAAACCCTAAACCCAAAGCCCCTAAACCCTAACCCCAAAGCCCCTAAACCTAAAACCTCTTTACCCCTAAACCCGAAACCCTATAGTTCCCTTTAAGGAACCCTATAGATCCCTTTATAAGGATCCCTTTATTATAGAACGGCCCCGGGCCTGGGAGTCTGGCTTTCCGCCACGCGTTGCGAAGGCACGTCCCGCCAGAAAGCAGGACACTTTGGTGCCAAGCCTCGGATAGGGTGGCTGAGGGGCTTAAAGTTTAGGGTTTAGGATTCAATTCCGATTCCGAAGCCCTGAATTAGTCCTTAAACCCTGATAGGATACAGTAGAAGCCAAAAAGTTGGAATATCATTATCGTAACCCCTTTAAGGTAAATTATAGGGGATCCTACCATTAATCCATATTCCAACTTTCTGGAGTTCCCTTTAGGGTGGCTGATACTTAGGCCGGAAGCCCCTCAATTGAAGCCCAAGAATTCCCCCCAATCTACCTCGGCGCAGCCCAACCCTCAGCAACACAAAAACCAAAAGCCATACACTCAGACTCAAAGAGCTGGAAACCCCAACGCGCTGAGCAAAGAACGCCCTAAGCCGTATGCCATCAACACCCAAAGCCCAAAGCCTTAAAAACCCCGCCCCCCTGCAGCCCCTTGAACAATTTCAAAATAGATAGTCTTGGCAAGCATTCAGACCTCAATCTTCCATGCTAAAGCCTAATGAACCCATAAATAACCCGCAACCCTAAACCCCAAACTTTAAGCCCCTCAAACCCGAAACCCTAAACTTTAAGCCCCACGGTGGATTCCTGATGTTAAGCTGCAGCTGCACAGGCGGACGGAAAAAGGCGTTCAACAAAAACAAAAACGTTAAGCCCCTCAGGGTTTAAGGACTACTTAAGGGCTTCGGAATCAGAATTGAATCCTAAACCCTACAGCAAAGCCTGAATCCCACCTCTTAAACCCCAGACTCCTAAACCATAAGCCTTTGTTTCGGTTGGTTACCAGTTTGAGGGAGAGTTACGGGAAGAGAAGGCGGGCCAAGGGCCCACTTTTCAAGACAGAAGCTACCTCCTCGTCATTTGGGACTGAAGAATGACTACGAAAGTTTTTAAATCGTTTAGGGCCTAGGGTTTGGCATGTAGGGTTTTGGCTTTAGGGTTCAGGGTTTGGGGTTTATGAAAACCGCGAACTGCTATCTGGGGTTCAGGATGCGTGGTTCCAAGCCGCCAAAGCCCAAATATACGGCTCCACCGCCTGGTCGCCCCCAACCCTTAAAAGTACCCCTTGTAGCACGCCTTGCCGTGCCGGAACCCTTATCGTACCCCTCGCAAGAAACCCCTTCAAAAACCCGCTCAAGAATCTTTATGACCCTAAATTCGACAGACATCCCAGGGCCCCAAAGACCTGAGCTCAGGAGCCAGCCGTGGATGCAAAGCACAGGCTTGCGCTCGCAAGCTGGCTGGCTCTCTACACCCGGCTTTGCTTCTTCTCTTAGCTGGGTCTGCAGCACTCCGAAGCTCTATCAGTTGGCAATAGATCCTACACACGCTGGGAGTGTGCGTCTCATGCTATCTGTGGTGGTCACTGAGTTGCCGAGCCAAAACTTCGCAGAGGGGGCGGTGCGACTTCGCCACCCCTCAAACTCCTCAAAACATAGGTCCCTAGGTGAAACAACCCTCCTTTCAACAGGGCTGTTATAGGGATCCTGGTTATAGGATCTATTGACGGACCCCAATTGAAAGCAAGTTCCTTCCTCAAGTTGAAGAATATACCTGAAGCTGTCCATGTACCGTTCAGGAGTTCAAAGTAGATTTCTTCGTTCCAAAAGTGCCCTAAAATTTGTCAATGCTCTCCATTGGGGTTCCTGACTATGAGTACATTATATATAATATACACCAAAGCTGGTCTAATTATCAAGGGCCCCTATATCATAGAAGCTGATACGTAGGGTTGATGCAAGGCTTCCTTTAAGAAGGGTTCTTTAAAGATTAAGAGGAGGGTTCTATGATATAGGGGCGTGGGAGTAGATTATGGTACAGCTGTGATAAGGAACCTTGGGGCATACTATCGGTAATTGTTCCGGCGTCTATAATGGTTGGGGGCTTTAGTGGTTGAGGCTTGGGATTTGGACTTCAGGGTGGAGGCTTTGGAAGAGCTTTGGATTGACACTGGAGGGTTCTGAGCCGGGGTTTAGGGTGAGAGATGGACTTTTTGCGTGTCAGGGTATCGTGCTTTAGAGCTTCATCGGCCCTCGCTCAAGCAAACCCTGGAGGCCGAAACCTTATGAGGTGAGTTCAACACAAGTAAAGGGGCCTCTATAATTAGAGCAGCGTTTGGGGTATCTAGATTAAGAACAGAAATATTCACCGTTGTTCAGCCTGGCAACGAGCCGTGAAACTCTGAGATTGAATGGCTCAGCTGCATAGACATGACAGTCCAACCTCTTTGTAGCAGAGTCGTTTGGGGCGTCTACTACAGGGGCCTTAATAATTTGAATAGAGCTTTTGGGGCCCATTGTACCATATTTAGTGATTTAAAGAACCCTCAAAATAGTATAGGTAATTATTTAGGCCCTTCAGGACTGATAGGCTTACGGTAGAAGCCAAAGAGCTGGAACCTCCTTCTCCTGATGGCAAATCATGGAGAATCCTAGCACTCATCACCCCTCTTTCAAAGTCTGGGAATGCTGAAGTTTGGAGCAAACTGGGCCACGTATCTCTTTTTGCAGCAGTCTTGTTGTAAGGCTTGCTGGCGCGGTGCGCACATGCATGCACGAAAGGCACTCCACTTTAACGGGTAGCTGCAGCCGCGCAGGAAACTCGGTAAATGCATCCGGTTCGACCATCAAGGAGGAGGTGGACGCATCAAAATTTTAAGATGTGCGCATGCTCTATTCTCACTGCACGTTCAATTCCGGACTCTGAATTGTTGTACCACGCAGAGTTCAGATTCCAAGCAAAAGGACATGTCAACTCGGTACTGGCCTCATCCACTATCACTGTGCCGGCCTTTACGACATTTCCCGGCTCTACAAAGTAGGCGTAGACGCCGATGCCCACAGCGATGTGGGTGTGAGCATTAACTCGGTAGCCAGAGACACCATTTTCCTGGGTTTTGCTAGAGTCAATTGAGGTTAAAGAAATCATAAAGAAAAAAGCGCACCAGTTCCTAGTAGTGTTACTGTCGGTACATGTATTATCATTGCTATCGTCGACTTATGACACTTGTCATAACTAAAAAAGATCTTATAACTACTATATAAACATTAACAAGCACTAGCATTGATATTATGACGTTGATGGTGAGAATTATACAGATTATAGTCAAAGCATCACTATGCTTACCCGAATAATTACAAGTACTACAAAAAACTCGTTGTACTTGTTGCAATTTTTCTGACTACTAAAGGTATTACAAGGACCACAATTAGTATAAGTATTAAACATACAATCATGACACAATGGTTTTACCGTACTTCAGTTACTAATATTCATAGACTTGCGAGAGTCAACATGTACTAATATATACATTACTCTTACAGTAGTGAAAGCCAGCTTCTCCATAGTGTGGCGTGTGATCCCAGGGTTGCCGCGCGAAGGAATCCATTTCACTCTGGTAGAAGAAGGACATCCCATTCTCCCCATTCCACACAGTCAGATCCTGCTCAGGGCTTGTGATCAAGGAGTTTAAGTTCTTGGTAATCATAGGATTGAGGGTTTAGGATCCACTCCTCCTGGCAATGTTCAGAAAAAAGGCCGTAGGAGACCACATTCGCACCGTTCACGACTACGCCGTGCTTGCAGTATCGCTCCACACAGGTGCCACAGCCCAGCTGGCAGCAGTCTGCCCTCCAGGCCCAGACGTTGTCGAGGACCACGTGGTTGCCCCCAACTTCAATCATGACATCTGCGGACACCACCTCAGGCAACATGCGAAGCCCTAAACCCCAATTCCAAAATCTTCCAAAGCTGAAGCCCAAAAAGGCCAACACCAAACAGCCATCTTACATCCCACCCTAAGCCTGAAATCCTAAACCCTAACCCTAAACCCTAAGCCACTTAAATCCTAAACCCTAGGTCCCACAGCTGTGTTTCGGCTATGGCTCCGGATCCACGAACCGTCTGGTCGGAGTTGAAGAGGCTATTGGGCCAAAGAAAAACTGAAACCGAGAAACCGCTAGACTCCGAACCGCAAGAACTCGGGCCTAAGCCGCAACGGCTAATGTAGGAGCCTTTGCTATGTGAATGAGATTTTGCTGCATACTCTACGATATCTATATGTATTTTCAGGATTATTCGGCAATAAGCTTGCAATTTTGCCCAACCTCTATTGGAACTTGTCCACGTCTTGAAGCCCTGCACCCGGAACCCCGGAGCCAGAACACCTCAACCCGGAACGCTTCAAAGGGTGGTCCCCAAGCAAACAGAGTCCCCAAACCCCAAACACTTAAACCCCGAGCCCTCGAACCCCAAAAAATCCTCGAACCCTGGGTGCCCCATGCCAACTTGCTCGAAGATCCAGACACCCTAGTTTCTACACCCTAAACCAAAACCTCTCTGAATCCCTACATCCCGAACACTAAACCCTGTTTCCCAGAGTCTACTTACACTCCCGTAGCCAAGGAACAAGCCTTGAATCCCAGAGGGTCCCCTCTTATTTGCAAGTGCATTCCTTAAGGAAGCGCTGTTTGGAGTCCGTGGATTATAAAGACCCATACACCCTACACCCTACAGTACAAGCCCAAAAGCTGGAAATCCAATAGCTTCCATCCTTAAGAGTAAAGGGAATCCCAGCGCTAATTGTCCTTCTTCCGGTTTCCCACTTTTTGGGGTTTACTCTAAACCCTAAGCCCCAAACCCGAAACCCAAAGCCTTGCACCCGAGATCCTAGTTCTTTTCGGGCACCTCCCGCCTCGGTGTCAGGGCCTCCGACCCTTGCAAAAACATCAGCCAGCAGGCTAGGGTTGTCGCCTTCGGATTCAGGGCTTAGGGGGGCTTCGGGTTTAGGGTTTAGGGTTTAGGGGGAGGGGGGCTCAGGGTTTAGGATTTGGGGTTTGGGGTTTAGGTTCAGAGTTGAGGATTTTCACCTTCGGTTTGAGGTTTTGGGTTCAGGATTTGGGATTCAGGTCTTTTGTTTTTCGAGGGCCTTTTCGAGGGTCTTTTTTCACAGCACCTGTTGCAGAGAGCCCTAGTGGGCAGGCTAGCTGATGTCACAGCTGCACCGGGGTTTAGGGTTCGGGGTTCAATTAAGGGATTTTAGGATTTAGGTGGGACAAGGGCTTCCGGATGTAAGGTCCCACACAGGGCCCTTATACCCAGAACGAGCTTTTTTTGGAGAATACTGTTCGGAAAGTATCTACACAGCTGTTGTCACCACGGAAACTCCCAAGCTACCGCATTGTGTACGTACAGTTTGTAACACAGACATGCCTTGACGAAATGCATCATCCAAACTATGCATGCTTTCAAGCGATGTATCTGCAAGGCAGATGCATTCTGAATGATTTGGGACTTAAGGCTCAGTCGCAATTGCATGGAATTCGAGGACAGGGTCAGGCCAAACCAACGCAACCCAAACACGCCAAACCCTGCAACCGGCAAGCCTCCCTCCAGCCCTGTAACTCCTGTCCTGAACCCCAAAACCCAACTTCTGTCCCGAAATCATAAACCCGAACAGCTCCTCCTCACACGGGGTCTAAAGGGACATGTCAAAGGATACGGGCTGAAGCCGCTCCCCCAAAAAAGCGAGCTGGGTCAAGGGTTTAAGGATGAGGGGTAAGGGTTTTGGGTGGCTGCCTTGACAGGAGTTTGGCTCCCAGCGAAGCAGAGACGGAGATTTGACGGCACCCGCTTGGAGCAGCACCCCGGCGACACGCACCCCGCAAGAGGGCCCCACCTTCATCAAGGCTTCTTTTTACAAGAACCCTTAACGGTACCCCTTACAGGAGCTCTTAAAGGAACCCTCGAAGGTACCCTTGAAGATACCCTTACAAGGTCCTTTAACGGTTCCCTTTAAGGGTTTGTCTAAGGGATCCTTTAAAGGATCCTTAGCGGCTTCCTTTGGAGGATCCTGTAAGGGGCTCCTTTCAGGTACTGGCAGGGTACTATCCGGGTTTAGGCTTTAAGGCTTCCTTTCAAGGTTCCCCCCCAAGGGTTCGATCCTTTAGAGGTTTAGGGTTTGGGGTTCAGGGTTTAGGGTTTGGTCAGGGTTCAGGGTTTGGGGTTCAGGGTTCAGGGTTTAGGGTGTCTTCAAGGTGCGATTAGGGTAGTATTAGGGTACTATTATATTAGGGTTCAGGGTTCCCTTGAAGAGCCTCTGGGAAACCCTGTCAGGGTTCCCTTGCGGATTCGATGACAAGGTACTCTTGGGGTTGTAACTGTAAGGAAGATGACTCGACCCCCCAATGATTCACATCAATCCGATACCCGTCACAAACAAACACTCACTACAGAACTAGATTCCCCCAAAAGAAAGAAGCACAAACAACTTGCAGAGTTTAGCGCTTGGGGCTGCAACCCAAAACAGAAACCCGACACAACTCCCACCTCTATCACTGCCGTGCCGTTCGTGGGCACGAGAGTGGCCATGCCCAAGCCCAAGAGCACTTGACCGCCCGCGCTCTCATTGAAACCTGTGCGACGCACTCGAGCCCTGGCAAAACCCCCAACCCTGATGCCCTCAACCCACGTGTCTTAGGCTTCAGTCTTTAGAACCCGCAACCTCAAATCTCAAGTGTCGGTGCTGCATGGAAACTGGAACTGTTCCTCGAGGCTTCACAGTCAATCCTAGGGAAGCGTCAATTTCGTCAACTGGACCCTCAACGGCTTAACCTAAATCCGAAAACATAAACACAGTACCAGACATAAGCCCAAACTACCGTGGTGATGATAATGATGGTTGTCGTGGTGCAACCACTGAGCCCTTGATCCTTGAACTCTGCACCCCGAACCCAAACCTCAACTTCAACCGAAGGCGCGGCTTACCGAGAGCCCAAACTCAAAACCCCAACCAGAAACGGCTCGAACTCAAAAACATCGAAGACCCAAACCCGACATCTGAGACCTCGAAGCCCGAAAACTAGCCTTGCGAATGCAGGGACCTGCACAAAGAACCGTGGTTCGTGATTGGATTCGCAGTATTCTAGTCTGATTCCTGCTCGCCAACTAAACCCTAAACCCGAGACCCATACTTCTAGACTGACAGTAGACCCTCGAAGTGGCGCTTGACCAGTCCCGAAACCCAGCTCCCACATTAACGATGAATCCAGGAGCCTAGCCGGAGAGGCTCGCTGAGTTGGTAGATCCTCGGTGGGCTGTCTGGACTTCTAACGGTTTGGGGGTTTGAGGAGTTCCCTTCAAGGGCTACCTCAACGGGACCCCAAGGGTTACTGAAAGGGAATAGCGATTCGGGTATAGGGGTGTAGGATAAGGGGGTTTTTAGGATTCCAGGGCTTCTGATTTAGGCTTTAAGGTTCTTAGGGGGTTTTGGGGGGTGCTTGGGGGTTTTGGGGCTGTCAAGCTGCTCTTGTTGAGAGGCCTCAGGTCTTGATTTTCTGTTAGATGGCACCCACGCCCTGGTCCGTGGACTTTGAGGGCGGGAAGCAGTTACAAGCTACGACACCTAGGCATCGAAAGCTTCGCTTATGCTCGACATTCAAGTAAACATTCGCAAATTATTTTCAACAAAAACATTAGACACTGAAAGCTGAACCTTAAGAACTATGAACAACCCCACGATCAGCCTAAGATCCCGGGAGAGAGCACCACGTGTCGCCCTGCAGCCAGCTTCGCGTTGATCGCAGAGGCTGCCATGGAATCTGTAGCCTTGGAAGAGTGCTCAACAGGGCTTAGGGTTGAGGGTTTTGGATTTTTTTGGGGGGGATTTGGATAACCTGAACCCCAAAAGTATGTAGAATAATGGCCCTTTATGGGTTTTGGGCCATTACTTTACCCAGTTTTGGTGGTTTAGGTAAGGGTTTAGGGTAAGAGAAGGCTTGGGGAGGTGGAGTTTAAGGGGCTGAAAGGCTTCGGATGTTGGGTGCTCGGGTTAAGGAGAGATTGAGTTTCGGATCTCGGGCTCCGAAAAATGCCACAGCACCTACATGGGGCAGAAAAAGTGTGACCTACCTCTTTGGATGAACTATATGTAGAAATCATCGTCAGGAACCCGAAAACGGTTGGGCCTTGTCCGGCTGAAGGTATGGTTTCGGGCGGCAGACACGGGGAGTTGTGTTTGGGGCACACCGCCTTTCTGGAATTGTGCTCAGGGACGTCAACCGTTGGGGCTTCATGTTTAGCAGCTTAGCACTTGCGATTCCAGAGTTTGGAGTTTGTCTTGATTCTGACAGAGTCATACGCAATCCCCGGGACGAATGGCCTGAACATAAATCGCGCTGTTTCCTGCGGGCGCCCTGTCAGAAGGCATACCTGGAGGCGGCAATTAGGATTTCTCACAACCCAAATCTCTCCATAAGTGATCGAACTCGAGTGAAGAAGCATAACTTGGACACTGCCGGGCCCCTGTAACAGTAACCACAATGAAACCCACAAAAAAACACAACTTCTTTTTAAGGGGTTCATGCAAAACCTAGATTTACAATTGTCACTGAAAAAATGGGTGCAGGGTTTGTTTCCCTTCCCTGCATAGTTCTGTGATCTGTGCATCGATATTATTTCAGTCCCACCAGCCCCCTGCTTTCCCCTTCTCCCTACGCCATGATCACACAACCTTCGCAGTTGGTGTTTCTGTTCACCTACTCTTGTTATTTCTTGTTTTATGACCACGGAGCCCGAAACAGTGTAGGCCTCATAGTTAGCTGTAATGTCTTAGAACTTATAACTTATAAGTTAATCGACTTCCAGTCATGTAATGTGCCATTTTGGGACATAAACACAGATATTGATATCAATCAATATGAAAGCCACAATGCCGACAATGCCGCTAATCAGAAATTTCGAAAATTAGACCATGACTTCCTGCAGCATGCCTAGAAGAAAGGATGCTGCTGCATCCCCTGAAAACCTGCAACTGAGCATTCACTCAGCACCATAAGTCGTTTCCCTTCTACGCACGCATCGAACATAGACAATCGACAGACAATGACACTGCACCTTCTTTTTGGGGGGAATGAATTGAGGGGAGAAGGGATGAGTCTAATTAACCCAAACTGCAAGCTGGTGCAAGTGCAGGGAGGCCACAGAGGGGGCTGGCTTTGGCCGGCCTGGGGACCGTGGGGGGTCTGGTGGCCACTTGATCATTTTTAAAGGCGCCGGCCTTTCCCCAGCATTTTGGCAGGTAGATTCCAAATTTTCCTGATTCAGTTGTGTGTTTTTTTGGTTTCAGTTGTGGTTTTTTCTGGATTCAGTTGTGCTTTTTTTGTGGTTGTGATTTGAAGTTTGTGCTTTTTTTGTGGTTGTGATTTGAAGTTTGTGGTATTTTTTGTGGTTGTGATTTGAAGTTTGTGGTATTTTTCGTTTTCTGGATTCAGTTGTGCTTTTTTTGTGGTTGTGATTTGAAGTTTGTGCTTTTTTGTGGTTGTGATTTGAAGTTTGTGGTATTTTTGTGGTTGTGATTTAATCTGAAGTTTGTGGTATTTTTTGTGCTCAACCACCGTGCCAAGCCACGGCAAAGCACCAGCAAAAGCACAAACTTCAAATCACAACCACAAAAAAAAGCACAACTGAATCCAGAAAAACCACAACTGAAATCTAGTGGTCACACACACACACAGAGGTAATTTTGAAAGCTGCTGCTCCTGGCTGCCTGGCAGATTAGCAGAGTTGAAAAATTGCTGCTCCTGGCTGCCTGGCAGATTAGCAGAGTTGAGAGTTTGCTGCTACGGGCCACTGCCTGGCTCCTTTGTACATTGAAAAAGTTCCGGTTTTGCTGCCCTTGCTGGCTGGGAGAAGTAGTAGATTTCAGAAATTGCTGGTACTGGGGAGAGAGGGGAGGGAGGGGAGAGAGGGGAGAGAGGGGAGAGAGGGGAGAGTGAGAGAAGACAGGTGAGAGAGGGAGAGGGGAGAGAGGGGAGAGAGGGGAGAGAGGGGAGAGAGGGGAGAGGAGAGGGAAGGGGGAGAGAGGGGAGAGAGGGGGGAGAGGGGAGGAGAGGGGGGAGAGAGGGGAGAGAGGGGAGAGAGGGGAGAGAGGGGAGAGAGGGGAGAGGGGAGAGAGGGGAGAGGACAGGCAGCAGCTGATTTGCCGAAAAAGTAGTTGGGGAAGGCCAACTTGGGCAACTTCCTTGCCCAAAAACAGTTGTGCTTTTTGGGGGGTGTCTAGATAAGGAAATGATTATCCGACTGTTACAGGAGCCCGGCAGTGTCCAAAGCATAACAACCTACAAGGCGTGTTTAGTACGAAGGGAAACAACAACCTTCTGGACACACATTACAAAACTCTGCTAAGCCATGGAGTGGAAGCCGAAAGCTGCTTCTTTTTGAAATCTCACGTACGATGTATTCCAATGTAGCACTGCGTTAATTATACTGTAGTACGGAGCATATCTAAAATAATGTATGCTAACAGAATAAAACCTGATCCAACGTAAGGAGCCACAAAGACGTGCTCGAAGCCGATGAGGTCCGACTCATCCCAGCCTGGCCCACTTCGTCCCCAGATCGGTCGGGGGATCGCGAGGTTGAATTTTCCCATGGCATCCACTGTGATGTAAGGCTTCTCCTTAGAGGTGCAGATAGGGTTTAGGGTTTTGGGTTCAGGGCTTAGGGTTCAGGGGTTTGGGGTTTAGGGCTTAGCGTCTTCGCGAAAGTAACGGTGAAACTTTTGGGGCGATTTAGGGACTGTAGTACCACAAAGAACGCGTTAAAGGTTACCGACTCTATTACTAAGCCTTCCTGGAGATTTAGGGCGAGTACACTCATGACATGAACTATAGGAACCTGATCAAGAAACTCCAGGTCTTTACTGGGGCTCTGTATATGGGAGTTTCCGAAAAAAGGGGACCCTGATATAGTAACCTAAGTAGTAGGATCCCTATTATAAGGACTCCCAACATAAGGTACCCCATTTTGCGGAAACTCCCATACGGATCCCACTGTTTTGAGGTTACAATTACAGGGCCAGGGTTTCTTAATCAGGTTCCGATATTACCCATCGGTTCAAAGCTGAGGGTGTGTGGTCAGTTGGCTCCGAAAACCCGTCAGTGCACGTACCGAGACATATCACCAGCAACTGAAAGCAACATACGAGCTGGCCAAGTCTCCCAACAAGAAGCTGTATCTTGTTCAGAAGACTTCTGCAAAAGACGAGAATAAGTATTAAAGCATGTTACCCTAAACCCTATACTCTTCCCTCTAAACCCTACAACCTATTCCCTAAACCCTAAACCCTAAACCTCAAAACCTATTCTCTAAACCCTCAACCAGACGAGTCTCGAGCAACACTGGCGGCTTCTCCACCAAGAGATTCTGCGGATGAGGCGACACGGGATCCTCCGAAACCAAGGGCCTACGGTTGATGATATAAATCCTGCATTACCCGCCATAAGGAATATACCATAATTCCCATAGTTTCGGGTCCTTAAGGTAATGCAGGATTTATATCATCAACAGTATCAGCCCTTCTTGCAATAATCGCAGGTATCCCTATAGCTTCTGTGAAAGGTTTGCGGGCTTGGGTTTGGGGTATCAAAGTCTTGTCCAAAGGTTGAAAAGGTTAGGGTTTGGACAAACCTTTAAAAGATTTTAAAAGTGAGGGCGGGATTTTGGGCCTCTACAGCATTTTAGCTTCAGGATTGCCCGTTAGTTTTTCGGTTCGAGGTGTTAAGGCTCTGAGATCCAGAGGTCAGGGACGAAAAGCTTTGGGGCCCACGAGGATGCTTCCTGAACCTTCAACTGCTCTTAAGGGTTTAGGGTTTAGGGTTTAGGGTTTAGGGTTACGGGTTTAGGGTTTAGGGTTTAGGGTTTAGGGTTTAGGGTTTGCTGCAAGATCCCGTAGCGGTAGTGCAACAGGGATTGTAGGATTTATTAGCGGTTTTGTTGCCTGCGAATCGCAGACATGGCCCGACTGTGGCGGGCCATCACATTACTCACCCACCCCACGCCGTCTGAGGCGGCAAACCACCCAAACCTATACCTTTTAGGGCTTAGGACCTAAACTCTGTTAGGTCCATGTTTGTTAACAACAACCACACAATTCTGCAGCCAAGCTTCTGCTCAAAACAGGGAGGACAGAGGAGGGCGGAGTACGGCAGGAGGTGGGCCAGAGGAGGCCGGGAGGCCAGGAGGCTAGGAAGGAGTGTCAGGGCCAGAAAAAAGGTCAGCGCCAAGGCGGCCAAGCGGGCCAAGGGGGGGGGCCAAGGGAGGGCCAGGGGGGGGCAGGGGGGGCCAGAGGGGCCCAGTGGGCAAGTCCCTGGCCAGGAAGCCCTACGCTGGAGCTTCCAAGCCCCCCCCGGGGTCCCTTTTTGGGGGTGGCCAAACCAGCCCAGCGCCCCCCAAAATTTCGGGCTGCGGGTTTAGGGTAATGACTTTAATAGGGACCAGTACTGGTCCCGCGGAGAACATGTCCCGGTACCGGGCCTAACGTGGGTGCTACAGTACCCCTGGCTGTGGGACGGTGGGCGAGCGTCCTGGATCGACCTGCGCCATCGATGCGCCCACCATCGAAGGTGGGCGGCCTGGGCCTTGAGTTTAGGGTTTAGGGTGTAGGGTTTAGGGTTTATAGAAATTGTATAGGGTTTGGGTCCGGGGTTTTGAGCGAAACGTTTTGAGCGAAACGTTTTGAGCGAAAGTTTCGTTTTTTACTTTGGTGTTTTGATTTTGAAGTTTGGGTCCGAGGTTTTGACCGAACGTTTTGAGCAGTTTTGTTTTTTACTTTGGTGTTTTGATTCTGGGAGTGGGCTGGCCGCTGATTTGGGGAGTGGGCTGGGGTGGGCTGGCTGGGGCCGGGATCTGAGTCTGGGGTTTTGAGCGAAAGTTTTGCTTTGGTGTTTTGATTCTGGGAGTGGGCTGGCCTGGGGTCGGCGAAAGTTTTGGGCGAAAGTTTTGAGCGAAAGTTTGGGGCGGGTTTTGTTTTTTGACTTGAAGTTTTCATTTTGGGAGTGGCGGGCTGGGGGCCGAGCTGGCTAATGGGGGCTAGGCTTGGGGCTGGGCCTGGGAAGCTTGGGCTGGAATTTGGTTGGACACGTTTAATGAAAGTTTGAAACTAATGCAAATGCAATTCGATAGGAAAAACACACAATTTCTATTTATCCTGCTCTTGAGGGTTTAGGGTTTAGGGTTTAGGGTTTAAGGTTTAAGGTTTAGGGTTTAGGGTTTAGGGAACCCCAACATCGAAGCTTTGGGCTGCTGGAATAGCTATATAGGGACAACCAACGGGGATGATGTCAAATCTTTATCAGAACTCAATAGTACCGGCCCGAGCTAAAACTAACCCCAAACGTAACCGGGCACCATAAACACACTCTGCCCTTATCCTGAGCAGGCCTCAAGCCTTACACCCTGAACCCCAGAACCCAAGCCTGAGACTCAAACCACCACACCTTGGTCCTGCACCCCAAACCCTGAAACAACCCAGCCGTAAACATTTAACCCTAAACCACACCCTAAGATCTGCATACAATCAAAACCAGTAAGCCCCACGCACCCTAAATACAAAGTCGCAAACTCTTCAATACCTAGCACCTGACCCCCCCCCTTTAACCCCCCCCCGGCGCCCCCTTGCGCTTCGATCCTGCATGGAGTTCGTGCAGCTCGTTTCAGCAGGAGCCCCCTCGGTGCCCACGTACACGAAGTTCACGGCACGCGGTGGGCTGTCGAAGTAGGTGGTGCTCTGTACCTGGTGCAGCGCTTGAAGGTTGGACGTTTGGGGCTTTGCAGTTAGGGCCTAGGGTCTAGGGTTCAACAGGTTGAGTTCGGTTTGGGTCTGGTAAGGCTTTCGGTGTAGAGTTTACTAAGGTTGACGGTTTCGCGGCATTGACTACGGTCACTACGATTACGACTACCACGATCACTGGCTTTCCGGCTCTCGACAGCTGGCTGCTGCAACGTTGCTACTGCGCTCGCTGAAGCCGCTTGCAGCTATTTCGGTTTTGCTGTTGTGCTTACCAATGCCATGTTCTTATTGCGGTTATGAAGATTTTCCATAACGGCCAGCACAGCAAACACGACATCCTCATCATCAATGCCAGCATCACCATCTGTATGTCTCTTGGGTCCTCGGTCGTATCAGCTACCTGCCCGCCCATGCTCCCATCCCAGCCCGGGCCTTGCAGCTGCGGATGAGCCACTGCTGCTGCCGCACTAGATCCACTGTGCCAGTGACCTGGAAACTCCAGGAAAGAAAGAGAGAAGGGTGTCCAAGACTGAAGACGCAGCCGGCACTGAAGGCCACCGGCTCTAGCTCCAAGTCGCCGAAACCGAAAGGCTCAACCCACCCCACCTCCCACCCTTCACCAAAAGAATTGCCTCAAAAGCAAGAAATGCACGCCAAGGGACCTCCAAGTTGGCCACGAAGCCGCCGCTGCCCTTGGATGGACCATCCTTTCCCGGCTCCCCGAAAGCCAGGTCTCCGTGAACCTGCGCGGCCGCACTGAGAGAAAAGGTGAGAGTTTAGGGCTCAGGGATTACAGCGTGGGGCTTAGAGGGTTTAGGGCGCAGGGCTTAAAATGGAGAATGTGATTTCTAAAGAGACGATAAGGGGATGTCTTGTTCTACCGAAAAGGCCCTGAAACCTTCAAACCCTGAACTTCTAGCCTTCACCCGTCTCATGGGTGCGGCTTGCGACACTGACCACGTCGTACGTTGCGAGGTGGGGCGATTCGCCACGTTTTCGACAGCCTCAAGAGGGTTTAGGGTTTAGGCTTCAGGGGATATTCTGCTTATCAGTATCATCCCAAGGTCTCATTGATATTACGAGCTTGAATACTACCATTCACGCGACGCGCTTTTCTCATCGGGGGTTTGAGGAGTCTCAGTCTCTCGCAGCTTCATCCGGTTGTTCGGTTCGGCACTCGAGGCTTGAAACCCTGCATCCCGGTGCCGTCGGGGCTGGGGTTTTAGGCTTCAGGGTTTAGGGTTCAGGGTTCAGGGTTCAGCGTCTAGGGATTGGGCTAGGAGTTTAGGATTTAGGACTTTGTTTGGCGCTCATGGATCCGTGCTTGAAGCTTCTGACAATATGTGTAGGAATAGTAGGACGTTTCTCTTAAGGCCCAAAGACCAACCCCAAATTAATGAAAACCCCCACATCTCCGCCTTCCAGAAAGTGTTGAAGTTCACGTTGTCCGCCTGCGAGGCGGTGTGACCTAAACCCTAAGCCCAGGCGGGAGGAGCCGCGCAGATTCGGGAATCAGGGTTAGGAGAGGAGAGGATGGACGGATCATGTCGTGAAAAGTAAGGAAGTGCTGAGCAACCGCTGGTTGCGATCGACTAAGACTCCAAAACCTCTCAACTGCATCTCCCAAATCCCGGTACGCCGCCTGTTCTGTCATGGTGTCCTAGTTCAGAGCAAGGTTCTGGGTAATCCCGGCAAGCAGTTTAGATCTTCGGCTGAGGGTTTAGGATTTAGGGTTCAAGGCTTAGGGTTTAGATGGTTGCTGGTCCAAGCTACACGATGAAACCAAGAGCCAACCCCCTGCACCCCAAAAACCGAAACTTCTGCTTTGCCGGATCCGGGAAAAACAGAAATCCTAGACCTCTAAACTTAAACTCTAGGAGCCCCAAACCCTAAAACACACCCAAAAACCGGAGAAAACAAACAAAAACTGTAAACTAACAAATCGAAACACCCTAAAAACACACAAACCTAAACCTCAAAAAATCTACAAACCCTGACACCGTGTAAGTTTCAAACCTCAAACCCCTGGTGCCTCGCTGGGCCCATAAACCCCGCGGCTGCCAGTGAACGTCACCTCTTCGGGGCTCTCTCCGAGACCCAGCACCTGCAAGCCGAAGAAGGGTGGTGGACTTGGCGGTTCAAGTTGCTTTGGGGTGTAGTGTAGGGTGGGTTTAGTCGCTTGGGGTTTAGGGTTATGGGTTCGGGCTTTGGGTTTTACGAGTTTGAGTGTTCAGGCTTGCCAGTCAAGGACTTATGGGGCTCCCGGGTGTAGGAACGAGGTATTCAGGCGTGAGGGCTTCACGGGTTTTCGCGAGGACTCTGGGGCTTGAAGCGTTGGGCTTCAACACAATCTAAACCGTGAAGCCTACACCCCAAACCCCAAACACCAAAGGGTTTAGGCTTCGTGGTTTGGGGCGGGCTGTGGGCGGCAATCGAGCCGGACTGTACAGACTGCATGGCAACGAACGAAAGAATCACAAGAGGGAGAAGAAGAATCAGATACAGCAGAAGTAACAGAATGGCGCTAGCATAAACGAGTACTTGAACCCAAATAAACATCTAGCAATAATGTAGCACGAACAGCGCTGCTGCCTGCGTGTAGAAACCCACGGGCACATCCAAGCTGTAGTTGCCCGGCCTGGGTTTTGTCAAGCTGAGAAAGCGTGCGACGCATCTTTAATTCAGATTATTAGAGTACATGGTTCAGGGTTCAAGGCGGAAGTTTATGGCTTAATTCGGGATTAAAATCTAGGCAACTGGCTGAAATTACGGATGTTGATTTCAGGTCTTGGATTCTGCGTTCGGGACGTTGGGTCACCAGTTCGGGGCTTCGGCTCGGGCTGGCGACCTCAAACTCCAATCCCAGAGCCCTTTGGGGTCGGTTTAGGATTCAGGGTTGAATTCAAGTTCTCAGGTTGTTTTGGCTTCAGGGACCAGTTTCCAAACGAATTCTGACCCCCAAAGCCTCGAAGGCGTGTTAAGCCCTCAACGCCAGAGTGAAGACCTTAACCTCAAATCCAAGCCACACAAAACCGACAAACCCAACGAGCCTCAACCTCTGAACGCCTGAAGGCTTCTGACCCCAAATCCATCTGTCTCAACAACTGCTCACAGCAGGCGCTTGAAAAACTTAAACCCCGTTCGCCTTAGCCGAGAAGCCCTCAGCCCAAAGTTTTAAGCGCGAAACTCAAAAGCCGCCAGACAAGAGGCAGACCCAAAATTCTGGCAGAAGGCCCAAAACTGATCTTGAAACCCTTACGGAACCCCTCTAAAAACCCTCTGTGAACCCTTTCAGGAGAACCTGTAGAAACCCCGAGCCGCAGAAACCCTAAAAACATAAAGCCCGAAGATCTAAACCATAAACGCAACAATAACCAGCAACACCAAAAACCCTAAACCTTAAAACCTTGAAGAAGAGGGGCTTGAAAAGCAGCGCCACCCGGAGAGAGCTAAACTTCCCCGTCGCAAGGGGCCCCAGCTGCGTGAAGAGCGCCTGCACCTTATTCGGGTTTTCAAAGCTGGGTTGACTTTCGTCCGCTGGCATCGGCTCTCAACTACACTCCCTTCGCACTGGCAGTAGCTCAAAGAAACAGTTGTAGTTGGGTTGTTACAAGAGTTTAGGTTTGGCGCTTAGGATGTTGTGGGTTTAGGTTGCTGGGGTTTAAGGATAGAGCTCTTGTCGGTATGCTTGCAATGCAATGTACCCTCTAAGCAAAAGAGATGTTTAATGCCCTCTAATGTTCTGTTATAAGGACAGCTTACAGGCACGCATACACAGGACAATCTAAAGATGCCGTAAAAATTAACCCCAATTCGAATTGGAGTCTTGTCGGTGGTGCCTCACATTTCTCTTCATGGGACCTAGCAGGAAACTGAGGCCTGCACCGTGCAGCTGATATTTTCCATCTCCGGACTGAAGATATACCTGAGTTTTCAGTTCGGGATCAATGGGTTGAGGATTCAGGGCTAAGGGGTCTAGGAGTCGCACCTTTTCTCGCTGCTTCCCGGCCAGCTTGGACCGAATCCGTTGCAGCTGCTCGAAAGGAGCAACTGGTGAAGGCAGGATCCGTTGCAGCACCCGCGAGTCACGCAGCGGGACCTGTCCTCCTGTTCACTGGCAGTCCAGAAACAGCAGTTATACGCAGCTGGGCGCCAACGACTCCTGTGACTGTTGGCATGTTTGTGAATCCTGCAGCCCAAGCTTGGCCGCTGAAGGGTTCAGATAGTTTAGATAGTTAGGGGCACCACCCGGAACCACCCAAACTATCTAAACTATCTAAACCCCTGTCCTTCTGTTTACCTAGAGTATACTTACTCCAGACGGGAACGTTACATTGATATAAAGCTTCGCGATAAAGCTTCCCCATGCTATATACATATTTATATATACAAGTATACATATGTGTATTCATGGTTGTATGTTGCCTTTTACATACACATCAATTTGTCGAGTCTTCCAAATGGGCAGTGACGTTTTGAAGCTTGGAAGGGTCTTGGGGATTTGGAGGGCCTGTGAAAGGGATGTACCAAAATGGAAGTAGTCCCATCTAGCGATCATGTAAGGGCTTGTGCAATATGAGGCAGAATCCTACTGGCAGAACCCATAGAAGTGTAAAACTGTTTTCCTGCCACCAGCAGTCATATGATGATATCCTTGGAAAGCTGACTTACGGCCACCCACCGTACCATTCAAACCAGTATTGATACGAATGATGCTCAGACTACCAGCTATGTTTAGCTAAGATGTTGGTAGTAGCAACCATCAAACACAACAGGATGGCAACCACAAACTTAACAGTCATAATGGTGTGAAATATAAGATATCCTTCTTGAAGTGAAGGGCCCACTGTAAGTTATGAAGTTTATGGAGAGGATGAGTGGCGCAAGGCAAAAATTGTGGTGTCTGGTATAGAACGGATCTGATTTGACGCTTCGCCGCTGAGGTGGCTTGCACTGCAATCTCATGGTGAAACGTCAATGGCGATCGACTCATCTTTCCTGGCGCGACGTCTCCGCTTCTGCTTTATTCTCTTGGGACTCTTTTGCGTGTAAGATGCTTCAGCTTTCTCCGCTGGTAGACCACCATACGGCACCTCCGAGCCTGGAGGCTCACCGGAAGCACCGGCCGTTGGCATATCAGGAAGTCCTGCCAATGCCTCCTCAGGTATCCCAAGTAGCTGAGGCTGGTCATCAAACAGTCTACCCGTTTCCACAATTGAGCCTGGTAGGGCTTCCAGAGCTCGAAGCCTTTCACAAGTCCAAGTCATGTCCCCGGTCCTGGTCTGGTGCATGCACATGTGGCACACAATGAACTTCTGCTTGCACGTGCGGCTGTCGCAGAACCATGCGAAATACTCCGAGATCCCGTGTGCTTGCGGCAGCAAAGGCCCGCGGCACAGACAACACGAAATGTGCGTCAGAAGCACTGATTCTGATACATTTGGCAGGCGTTCCCTTTTTAGGACGACCCCACATGCTGGGCACGGCAAGTGTTCAAAAGTCCGCAGCACCTGTCTGCAGCCGCGTAAGCTCGCTTGCATTTGTTTGCCATCTTCACGGACACGCAACAGGCCAAAAACTTTCAGGATACGGCGGCGTGCATAAAACGTCTTCTCGGCATGTAGGTATTGCTGCTCATACTTGGGATTGAGAAGGCCCGCGGTATGCCACCACCAGGTTGTCCCCAGGATGTGTGCTACTGCCTCATGTTCATCATGGTGGTGGAAGCCGCTGGCATAATACTCAGGTTGTAGAACCCAAGCTTTCAGCAGAGTCCCGGCACGAACGCCCAGAATACCTGTCCACGACCCCAAGCCTTTGTGACAATACCTCCCAACCAGTCCAACCGCCACAGCAAAAACAAGGCAAGTGACCAGCAAACCAGCCATGTTCTGATCGAGGGATGAGAACATGCGATATGTGATATCTGACACGTCATAACCTTGCACGTCCCATAGCAGGACGCGCTCCAGATCACAGAGGCGCAGAATTATTGTACTTTCCAATGCAGATGGGGCAAACAACCACCTCGACAACGAATGCACAAGGAAGGGTATCAAGAAGAGCGTGCTTGCAGAAAAAATGACAGCGCATATGCCCTTCCATTTCCTCTTCGGCAAGCAGCAGCGGCGATAGATGTTGCCCATATTGGTGATACAACTCCAGAACAAAAGAATTGCCACAAGATCAGGAGGGCTCATGAAAATGTAGATGATGATAGACCACAGTGCAGCGATAACTGTTAATGCTCTGGTCAAAAATGACAGCTCTCGAAAGAAGTTGTTAACGGCCGACATGGATATTACAACCCTGGAGTACATTACGATGGTTGTGAACAGTCTTGTGGGATATGCCGAAAGCAGAATAGCATCAGACAAGCTGTAACTGTTCGTGTGGCGCCAGAAAAGCCGGTTGCTGCGGTAAGCATGCTGCAATAATTGCACCACTGCGCTGACCAGCTGAAGAATGAACAGAGCATGGGCCAGTTGGGCGTTTAGGACTATCTTCTGACGAGCCTTGACTGCTAGTTTCGTGTATGCAAACACCTTGCGCATTGACTGTAAAGTGCTGTCATCCAAGTCGTGACCAGTGTCAGTCTTCCACGCTTCTATCCACTGAAGGTTGCTCTCAAAGCAATCACTGTCGTAGATGTACTTGTCCAGGGCAGCAGGTGCCAGCAACCAGCCGGGGCGAAAAAGGTCGACGGCACGGAAGACAGCTATCCTGCATGCATCCCAATCCTCCACAGTAATGTTCTCTAGTTCAAGCTTGTCGGCTTCCTCATTCTTCCATACCGAACGGTTGGGGATTGGAAATTTCGGCGCCAAGGCAATGCTGAACCCCAAAGCACCAACCTGTGCAAGCATCAAACATGCGGTGAGCCCAGAAAGAGCTTGCCAAAAGCTGCCGTCATAGTCGACAGGTGAAGAAGCAGTAATATCGAACAGAACGCCTGCGCGCAAATCACACGACTCGTTGTATGCGTTTGTGCGGAACTCCAGCAAGGTGAAGTTTACAACGTAAGTGCCAGTTCCACCAACAGCCATAAACACCATGCCTCCCGCAGCAACTGGGCTCAAAGTCAACAAGGTGCCGAAAACGACCAAACTCAGCTGAACAATGTCCAGTATGAGCGGGAGGGCCATGATGCCACTCGCAGCTTAGGGCACAATAGCCAACCAGGCTTCGCTTACCCCAGAAATCATGATTTTTTAATGCGTTCTTGAAACTCATGGAGCGGGGAATGCAATCGCAAATCCGACATAAGGTCCATTCTCAAATTCATAGCAGTGTATCCAGACGTGGAGTTGAGGCGATGAACATTAGAAACCTCTCTGCACGAACTGCAAGCCGAATCCCCTGCAGCGAACGTGCATGCGTGCCTGCGTGCGTGTGCGCGTGCGTGTGCGTTTATGTCTGCAAGTGCTTCTGCACATCATGCTGTGTGTATACACGCGCATCCTTCAGAGGTAGCTCTGGCAGTTGGGGTGTCGCACTCTCTTGCATGGTTTGCGGGCTTCGTCCGACCTGTGCATGCTGCCTGCAGGAAGAAGTGTGCGGTATGGGGCTACCCAGCCGCCAAAATTCGGTCGTACGAGTGGTCCAGGCAAGAAAGTGTGCTCATGCTCGCTGCTAGACTAGAGCCTGTTTGAATCCAGTCACTTCCTCTTGTCTAGTAGAAGCCAACTTTTCGTTTCAATGCTAAGTGCAGACTTGACGAGTACCGTCTATTTGTAGTGGGGCTTGAGGGTTTAGGGGTTTATGCAAGCAGTCACTGCAAACGATCCCATCGAGATCGCGAGAGCGCAAGGATCTCTACAACAGACTATGGGTGTGGACCTCGGTGTTGAGGTTTGCTCTGAGCCCTGAAGCCCGCAACAGCTTTACCTACTTGCCCAGTCTCCTAGACCACAGGTGAACCTGTTGTGGTCAGCTTGGGGCTTTACTACCCGAGAAACGTTGCAGGTCGCGTTTTCGACTAAGAAGCTCAAGCCGTCTAGGCAGTTCTCAACCCCTAAGTCCGAACAGTTCACCTGCAGACACGAACTTTCAACACCGAGCGCTGAACCAGAAATCCCAAACTGCTTACCCTAAACCTTGTACCCTAAACCCTAATCCCACTAAACCCTGAACCCAGTAGACCTTAAAGCCCAAACCCCACTAGACCCCAAACCCCGAAGCCCCTAACCCCAAAAACCCAAAACCGAAAAAGACCCAAACCCGACATCCCAACACTCACAACCCCAAAGGCCCCTTCCTAAGCCCTGAAGGTCCAAATCTAAACCCTACGGCCCTACGGTCTAAGAAGGCCGAGAGGCACCGACGGCGGCCACTGAGGAGGGTTCGGCTCCATGTCAGCGTCCTTTGCTGGGAAAGACGACGATCTGGCTTTCTATTTCAGCACCTTTTCCCCTACAATAAACCCCATAAACTTGGAAACCGGATAAGTCAAATAGTGCTGGGATTCCTTATACAGTACTCTTAAGGATTGAGGCTATTGGGTTTCCAACTTTTGGGCTTCTTCTGTAAACCCTGAGCACCCTTTTCTGTCTGACGGTCTGGGTTTTGGGTTTGGAGGCTCAGGGCTTCGGGTATTGAGTCTAGGACTTGGGGCTTCAATGGTGTCTTGTTAATCTGAAGTGGCCCGGTTCCGGGTTCAGGGTTTAGAATCTAGGACTTAGGGCTCAGAGATTTGCGGGTCCAGTTTTTTAAAGCTTAAGGTTAGGGTTTAGGGTTCTGAAGCCGAGTCCCCACACCCCAAAATCCGAAAGCTACCCGTGCAGAAAACCCTACCTTCTAAAGTTACATCATAAACCAAGAAGTTCACACTAAGGAACCTGAAGAAAGCTAGAAACGAATAGGCTTCCGAACGCCAAGCCCTAGATCCTAAACCCCGACACCCCTTTTTGTTTTCGGCGGCTAGAGGTAAAGGCTAGCTCAGGGTTTCCGGATTGCAGACACACCGGACTCAGGGCTGCGGGCTTTCGACTGAGAACATCGAAGTATTCGTGAGGAAGGCTTAGGGCTGTAGGATTTGGAGTTTAGAGTTTAGGGCTGCCAAGTGGGAGTCCAGACAGGACGATCTTCTGGCGCCGCTTCGGGTTCTGAGTTCAGCCGTTAGGATTTAGGGTGTCACGCTTTTGGTTCATGCAGCTCATGCGGCGTATAGAGTCTGCGAGGTTTAGTGGGGTTCAGGACTTCGCATTTTGGGTTCAGGTTGTCACGTAGATTTTAAAGGATTTGGAGCTGAAAGCATCAAGGTGACTCAAGCTAAAGCTTGGCGCGAGACGCAAGGCGGAGACTGGAAACTCGAATATCGAGACCTGAATAACCGTAATGGGCTTTCGTGCTTTATACCTTAGACCATGATTGGCACAACGAGATGTGAACTTACAACGAAAGCTCCAGATGTTTGCATCATAAGAACCGGCATGAGTTCAGGACACTTGTTTGCTGAAACTCCATAATGCCCTACAAACCCTATACGCTTAACAAGAAGCCCTAAAGCCCTAAGCCTGGAGAACCCTGAAGCCTAAGCCCCCGACCCTAAAGCCCTAACCCTCAGGTCTAATGCAGTCTGAGCCTCAAGTCGAAAAGCCCTTCCTGAATCCTGGACCCCCTACTCCCAATCCTAACCCCAAAGCACCTTAAAACTGTGAGCCAAGAAACGGATCGAGCATAATCTTGGTGGCTCATGTGAGCACCACGCCGTTGCAGCAAGGCTTGAAGGTCTCCTGCTCAGTCTTGGGCTTACGATCTTAATGCGAAACGCTACAGGTTAAGGTTTAGGAGCGTGTTTGGGATTTAGTGAACTGTCGGGCCTGGGGTCCAGCGTCTGGAGTCTAGGGCCCTTAAGCCCCAGGAAGACCGCAAGTGTGGGGGGTTTAGCCTCAAGGCTCTAGCCCTGATCTGGGGGTCTTCAGAATTCGAAATGGGCTTTGGGGTACTACGTTGACCTGTGACCATATCCAGGAGCCCAACGGAACTGTGTTAGCAATTCCTCAACCCCTTCATTAGCTCGCCGACCCCTCAGCCCTAAATACTAAACCCCAAGCCTCAAGTAAGGCCCTGAACCCTACACCCTAAACCCTAAAGCCTAAGCCCTAAAACTTTCAGCCTTCAACCCCAAACTGCAAGCCCTAAGCCGTAAAATCCCCCCCCAGGCCCCGAAGGCGCTGAGAGATAGAGGGCTTACGGTTTTTGTGTTTCGGGTTTAGGGGTTTAGGGGTTTAGGGGTTTAGGGTTTAGGGTTTAGGGTTTTTGTGTTTCGGGTTTGGGGTTTAGGGATGGATTTCGAGTGTCGGTGTGTCCTGGTCTTTGGCTACATGTTTCCATTGAAGGTTCCTGTTAAGGTTACTCTTACTTCGGCCTCCTGGTAGGGTGATTAAGGTTTCTATACGGGCTACTCTTAACGAATAGGCTGCTGTAAGGTTTGCTTGTAAGACTACTAAAAGGGTTACTAGTCGGGTTTAGTGTCTATTGTTGTTGATGCATTTGGTACGGCCACTTTAGATAATGCCATATTGATGAAAAGCATGATGCTAGTGATCGTAACCAACACTTTTGCTGTCAGTCACAATCACCATCCTCATGATGATCACCATCATCATCATCATCATTGTCATCATACCTCTGCTGCTACTGTATGCGTTCGGCTCCGGCTACGGGTTTCACTGCTTCTTAACCATTGCTGCCATGATGACTCTTGCGTAGCTTTATACCTACTTGTACGAAAGACAGCGCAAGGACGACATGCCTCAAACTGCTCCACCCGTGTCCACCCATAGGATCTGGAAACTTCGTGCGTATGTACGAAATTACGAAACCCATTCTCCAATCCTCCGGGCTCGCAAGCATCCGCGGCAGGTGAGAGTGCAGAAGTTGTGGCAAACAGGCAGGCCAGCAACGTTGCCTCGCGGATGCCCCGTCCCATAATCCGCAAAACCCTAAACCCGAAAACTCTAAAGCTAAAAGCCCTTAACCCTAAAGCCCGAAACCAAAACCCCAAACACTGAAACCCGAAAGCCCGTGTCCAACAAACGGAACATCGGTGCTTTATTCTCTGCTTTGGTACTAGTACAAGTGCTGCTGTTGCGGCAGACTTGCAACAAGCCTGTCGCAGCTTTCGCAGAGGGGATTGCTGGTCATGTTGTGGATGCTGACGATCCATCCGCATTTCGCATCTGCGTGCTTCGACTGGTTTTTCAGTTGTACACATTTTCAATCGCAGGGGAGAGCAAGGATTCCTATGTTTGTCTTTGTGTTCAATTGGATACTGCCAAGCGTTCCTTTAAGTTGTCTTCAAGTCTGTATACAAATTGAAAGTCACAGTTTGCATTGCAGGTGTCATGACGCTTTGAATCAGCGCTTCGCCATTCCATTCTGTCGAGTGCAGGGGAAGTTGCCCTGGTTGCCGGCGGACGAGTCATTTGAAACCATAGCCACTCGATACGGGTGGTTCCTTTAGGGGTACTTTTTGCAGGTCTCGATAGCTTGCGATAAGCCTTACTCTAAAGGGTACTGTGGCAGGTTTAGTTTGTGACCATACGGCGTAACTACCCACATCAATCCAGGCCACACACCAAGAAGGTGACATGAGCCGCGCAGATACAGAGCTCTGCCTCCGTCCAAGGGATTGTCGCACGAACATCACAGTGAGACAACTAAGACTTGAGCCGCACTTCATGAAAGGCGCCGTGCAAGCTCACTCCCTGTAGTCGCTAGCGTATGTACCTCTAAAACCTGAACACTAGATCTTGCACCCCTAAATTCCTACATCCCTAAAACCCCAACTCCTAATCACCTAATCCTGAATCCCTAAAACCCTGCACCCAGAGCTCGGGCTGCTCGTCTTGCCTGCATTTCATCTCAAGCCAGGATCGAAGAACGCCCACAAGCACACAAGTATGCGAAGCTCAACAAAGACTTGATCAAGCAGAGTGCTGGCCCGCCAAATCACACTAGGAGCCTAACCGCATATGTTGCGTCTACTAGGAGAACCACACTGGCACTATAGGCCGCTTGGAAGTTTTCAACTGGATCGCCTTCGTGCTCTTCATGATCGCTGGTGCTCGAAAAGCTTTCAGAATTGCAGGAACGTTCCGGTAGCTTCATCAGCTTATACGTGCCCAGCAGCAGACTGCAGAAATTGCACGGGCACATGTTGATTTCGAAGAATGTTTATGGTTTCGGGGGAAGCGGGTCCCCTGCAAACCGCATCTTTAAAGAAGGGAAATATGTCCTGATGATCCCGGATTTGCGGTTTAGGGCTTCAGGGTCGGGAAATGTGGATTGTCGGATAGCGATTTACAACATTGCTCTGTCGTGCAGATGCGGCACTTGGTGCAGCGGTCAGGATTCTCGTGCTGATGCTGATGGTGCTGATGATGATGGTAGTGACGGTGACGATGACGATGATGACGATGACGATATTGATGATGATGCTGATGACGATGAGGATGGGATGAGGACGAGGATGCGACTCCTTACAGTAAGCATGCCACCCCATGCCCTTTTCTTCGTCCGCGCGTCCGCCGAGTTGAAGTCAGCACGTGGCATTCCATGGATTCTAAGGCTTTCCGGTGGAGAGGGTCCACATTCTCTCTGCCTTTCCTGCAGTGCACTGCGCAGCCTTGACTGCCATGGGATCTTCAGAGCCACACAAAGCCGCGAGAGTCGCCTGCCATTTCCTCAGCTCAGGGTTCGGTGTTCAGGGTTGAATGGATTTTGGACAAAAGGATTTATGGGTTTTGGAGTGTTTGGGCTTGGGGTTCAGGGTCGCCTCTACGATAAGGGCACCGTGGTTTCTACGATTCGGTTGCCAGAACGAAAGAAACCCGAAGACAAAAAGGGCAAAAGCGTACTACTCGGGCACCGAGTTTCGCAAGACATGCGGTGGAGTGCAAATGCCACTGTGGAAGTCCCCTGATCAGCCAACGCAAGCCTCGGGGCCACATGAGGTTTCTTGGGATGTCAGGATGTAAGACTGTCCCTGACAAACAAGCCCCTGTCTCTAAAGGCCTCAATATGCGGATCCCGATTCGAATCCTTCTTACGGGAGAGGGCTTGATGCAGCAATAAGGGATCTACATCATGGTGCTAACAGGCCTCAGGACGCTTCTGTAGGCTGTTATACGGTCTGCTGTATGGTGGTGTGCTAAAGGGATGGGATACGGTTAAAGTTTAGAACGGGGTTTAGGGCTTCTTCCTGAAGCTCGATGGGAGCTGTTGAGTTGCAGAAGAGCTGCTTCGCGCTGCAGACACCACCGCCAAATCCCGGACCAAGGCCTTCCGATTGGAAGGGCGGCGCCGGTTGCTCACCGAACACGTCACTGGAGACCAGGTGATGATGTAGTTATTGATGATGACGTCCTCCCTGCGGGCATGTCACTTCCGAGAGTCTTGAACTCAGAACGTGGGGTTCCTTATTTCGCTGTCCTTCTAATCAAGACTCCATTCTTATAGCATAATTGATTAGGAACCGCTATTACAGACGGGATCTTGATGACAAGTATCCTTCCATTAGAGCTGCGATTCTTCAGGTCTCTGTTAGCGAGCCTTGCTGCAGTGCATGCTTGAATCATGATAAGGCTCCTATTTATAGTAAACTCAACCTGAACCCCAAAACCTAAACCCTGACCTTCACTGTGGGGTAAAGCTGCACTCTCCAGGTGCCCCCAAACCCCAACTTTGCCCGGCCTGCACGCGTCGGCAATCAGATTTTCTAGCAGGACCTGCTGCGAACGAGATGCGAGCTTCAGGGCAATGAAAGTTTGGTGAGCTTCGAGGATTTAAGGGTTTGGCAACAGTCAGGATTTAAAGATTTTGGGTTTACAGGACCGGTGTGGGCTATAGGGCTTTCGGAGTTTGGGGATTGGAGGTTTTTGAACTGCAGCGGCTCTAGAGTCTAGATCCAAAAGAGACTCCAAATCATGAGTTGGGAGGCTCCGAGTTCGAGGTTTTGGGGTTTAGGGCTCAGGGTTTAGGGCGTTAGAACTTGCGGGGGAGTCGGGGCTTTGGGGCTCAAATGTTTGTAGGGTTCAAGGGATTCTTCGGATTCGCGGTTAGGGCACTGTATGGGTCGAAAGTAGCAGGCGTGCAAGTCCCAAACCCTGAACCCTGCGGCTTTTAACCCTAAACAAGCAGTGGCAAGTCGGGGCACCTCGTAGCTCGCCAAACGGGAAGAAGCCACACGAAGTCTGCTGAATTGCCTTGCGCCAAGGTACTTGAAGAAATCGATCCTCAGCATCGCTTTCGACCGAAACGACGTTCGGAGATTTAGGGTTTAGGATTGAAGACTTCAGAGCTTTGTTGAAAGTTTGGGGTTTGGCTTTTAGGGTTTTTAAGGCTTTCAAGCTTTCTTGGGCTTGAGCCTGTTGGGCTCAGAGTTGAGGGCTGGGGGCATGGGTGAGCGCGGGCAAGCTACTCGAGCGGCAGCAGTGCAAAACAGCACGCGCCCAGCGACTCCGCCGTCGCGGCCTCCTCCTGGGTCTCTCCCTGGAAGGCCGGCCTGCGCTACGCGCTGACAGAAGCAACCCGAAACCCGAAGTCTTGAAGCCCTAAATCCTAAAGCCTAAAACAAGCAGCTTTTTGCGTTAGGGCTCACGGACAAGTTTGATCCTCGGAATCTTGTTTGAGGGCCATACCACTTCCGCATTTTCGTGGTCATCCATGTATTGGCTGCCAAGGCTGCCGTTGTGTCTGTCATGCAGCGGCATTGCGGACTGCTTACGTACACCAGGGTTTGGTGTTAGAGTTCGGGGCTTAATATTTGGGGTTTGTTGGGCAGTTGAGGAGATTCGTCATTCAATTTGCATCCGTGCAAAACGTCAGAACATCAGGGCTACCGATTGTTCACGCGATAGATGTCCATGACGTGGCGGTGGCATCGGTTGTCTGTCTATATTGTATACTGACGGCGTCAGCCCTGGACCGGCGAATTGCACATTGTCTCGAACTCCACGGAACTCTGCAGTATGCTTGTCTAACGTCCCATATACACCCCTTATGGTCCCGCTTTACAAAGCCCCTTATCGTTTTATAGTTTCTTGACGGGGTTCTGCTGGATTCTCGTCAGTGTCTGCACACTGCACAAGTGTTCGATGCTCCTCCCTGACCCGGTGGCCTGTCATCGCCGATGTTCACGTTTTTCGGCGAGCTCGTAGCTACAGCATTCTCATCCACTGCTTCACCTTGGTCAAATTGTGGACCCACACACTCGACTGCGATACACATGAAGCTGAATGACATGTGCAAGAAGCTGCTTGAAATTGGATGGACAGCATCCGCGCCTGCATTGGGTGAACTTGTAGCATCCAACCTAACGCGGAAAGCCAAACCGAATCTCTCAGGATCTCTCAAGTGAATTCTCGGACTGGGCTTAGGCCGGGCTAAGAGTCGCGCATCACCAAGTGCACGTCTTCAGCGCCCACACCGCTCACATCCCGGTAGACATGGCACTGAACGCGCGAGCCAATGCCGGGCCTCGCAGCACATCTCACAAGACGTGAGACCCTAACAGCTCCAAGATACTCACGGGCAAACTGCAACATGGGCGGCCTTTCGCCAACGATATCCTGGCTGTGAACGTAAACACGACCTGCAACTTCATCGCGGTGCGCGCAAGAGGAATGAATGCCACCAAACCTCCATGATCCCAGCACTTGAGCTTCGCCGTGGTCTGCCGATCCAGCCGCAGCCAACCTAAACGGGGGTGCTTCTAGTGAGCGGTACCTTGCTTAGACCATACCAGTCTAGCCTATTGGGGTCCCTTCTGTTCTCAATCGCTGTCCACCGGCTGTAGCACAAGCACACCATGAGAGTGAACACAAGTCCAAGCCACCGTAATCACGGCCAGGCCAAGACTCCACCGTCGCCGTCACCTTCTGCCACGTTTTTCCTTGGAAAAGTTTGCCACACGGAGATGCAAAGTTCCCTCAACACACGCCCAGAAATGCTGCTTAGAAACGCTGTCGCGGAAGGTTCGGTCCCGATGGCCATGACCCCTGTGCTCGCGATGTTGGAGGTTTGGCAGGTAGTTCAGTGCGACCCAGCCTGGTAGTACTCCCAGTATCCACACCTGTCCTCCGAAGCAACACAATCAAGAAACACAAAAGCTCAGCACGCTACAAACATCAGAGGGCGAATACATGATATACACATATAATACATAACATCTAGTAGATTACATCTAACATGAAATGTACTACTATACTAACTACATACTGTTTAGTACATAACATCGAAGGTATGATGTACTGCTTCTCCTGCGCCCACCATGGCCAGCTCCAGAAAGGATTCACATGCATTGGTTCGGCCTATTTTGAGCCGAAGGAAGCACTCCAGCGCAGCAGCATGCGACTTGCAACACAATGTTGCATAACCAGGAGTTGTTGATCATGCATGTGAACCGGTGATGACATTTATTGGTATGCATCGTGCGCCGATCGCGCGCTCTCACGGCTTACTTTTCGTAGACTCTGACAAACTGCAACCGCCACCACCGGGGATCCTGTTCATGCTCCGTGCTTGCTTGGAAGCGCTTCCTGCGAGTGTGATCAATGCCTCCGTCGCCTGGGTTTGTCAGAGCTGCGATCATGCTCCTGCCAACACGCCACGCAAGGTCACGGTCGGGTCTTCGATAATACCCTTTGATCGCCTTCATCATGCGTGCTAGTGATCGCAGCTCCTGAGCGACACATCGCAGCCGCAGTCACACACAGTGCACGCCTGAGATATTATTGTATCGAGGGGAAGTGCCTGGTGAGTCCTTTCGACAAGCCGCGCCCATGCCATGAAGACTCCGAGTGTGAACAGTCGCTGCAAGAAGTCCTTAGCAGGCTCTCCCCGCCATCGCCAACAGCAGTTCTAAGTGGTCAACGCTCAGGCCGGAACGGACGAAGTGGGCTGAAGGGCACGATCTTCGCCGGCAGGTTCATCGTCAGCGCCGCCGACAACAATCAGAAGGGAGAAGAAACAACACCAAGCGAACATCACAACAAGCTTCAAGCACTGACGCTACCACGGAACTCACGCGACCTGACAAGCTTTGCCTGACCCCCGCACAGTCCGTGCTGAACAGGAAGGCGTGCACCGGGCGTCTGTCTCCTTAACTAGCTTTCCGTCCATCTCCCTCACTCTCGTTTGCTCTCTCTCTCTCTCTCTCTCTCTCGATCGCTGTCCCTCTCATTCTCTCCCTATCTCTCTCTTTGATTGTTTTGTGTTTTCTTCATTGTCTTCTCTCTCTATCTCTCTCTCTCTCTCTCTGTCTCTCTCTCGCTCGCTCCATGCCATGTTTGGCGTCAGTTTGCCCAAAACCATGTTCGGCAGCCTGTGAAACAGCCGAGAAGTTCCCTGTGACAAAAACAGGGCGGCTGCACTCATTTTCTGTCCGCGATGCTAGTGCTGGAACGGCAGGTAGGCACGCGGTGTCAATCACGAGCAAGCCTTCTTCAAACCTTAAGCCTTCACCATGTCCCCAAAGTCTGCAAGCAACAACTCAACTTTTATGCAGATTCTCTGAGAACCTCATCTTCCGAGATGCCACAACCCACGTGTGTTTCGATGTGATGTTCACGACTTTGTGCATCACTTCATCACCTGTTGCCAAAACCTTCTGCCGCCGCCGGCGCGACTTTCCCAACCGATGCAACTGTACACAGCGGACCCCTAGGATACGGATCTTCCAGTAGATCCCCCCAACTCTACCAAGAAACCCTACCTAAACTCTAAACCCTAAACCTAAAGCCCACATTTGAGTTGGGATCTGCCACCGAACTTCGGGAAAAAGGCTCACTGCTCACTGCTCAAGCGAGAGGGGCTCCAGGGTCGACATGAAACACCTTCAACGACATTCGAACTCGCCTTAACCTACTAGGATACCCAATAGGGTTCCTTAAAGGGTTCTATAAGGGATCTATAGTAGTGTTCTATAATGTAAGGTTAGGGCTTTAAGGGCTTCTAGGATACCCAGTAACCTAAGAATAAAAAGGCCTCTCTTTTTGGTAGTGGGTAACTTTATAAGGCACCTAGGACTACAAAAAGGGAATTAAGGGTACTACTGGGCATCCTAGCCTAGCCAAAACCCACATTGCTTGTGGGCCCCCTGTAAACCCGAAAGAGCATCCGTCATAACCCCACCAAAAGCTACGAGTGGGCTCTGGTTGACATCAAGAAAACCTCCAGAAGATGAAAAGAAGCGAGGACTTAGACTGTGAACCTCAGATATGCGAAAAGTGGGAGTTTCAGAAGATGACAGGGAACCCCAAAGACTCGGATCCTTATCAGAAGGACCACCGAAAAAGGTCCTATGGTGTTCTGAAGCCCTGCATACTCGAGACCCATTTGTAACCCCCTGCCCCCACAAGCTCAAGAAGCCTGGCACGCTGGGTCGGAAGAGTTTTCAGAAGCCCTTACTTGGAAGGGCAGGGGACTTTGTAAGTAGGTTATAAGTAGAGTTATAAGCACCCTAAATGGAGATACCCCAATTATAACCCTACTTATAAGCTACTTACTAAGTCCCCTGCCCCTCCAAGTATGGACATCATTCAGAGGATCATCAGGTTCCCTTTCACGGAAAACCATGTAAAAGAAAACTATGAAGGCTTCTTGTTCTCTAGAGCCGATGTGTTGAGTCATTAGTCCGATGTGGCTCCGGAGCATGCCGAGAGTGTTAGTTTCTAGCCTCTTAGAGCCTAAGGTAGCGAAAATCCCATGGCGAAAAAAAACGTGTGGCATCCGGGAGTTCGGGCAACAAGGATGGCTTTGTGCCTAGAGTACTACGGTTGATGATATAAATCCTGCATTACCCATAGTAAGGAATATACCATAATTCCCATAGTTTAGGGTCCTTAAGGTAATGCAGGATTTGTATCATCAACCGTATAGGAAGACATAAATACCCTGAAACCCTAAGACCCCGGAACCCTGAGCTTCTGCGCAAAAAATCAAGCGAAAAGCTCAAACCCTTCCCTGCCTCCTCGAGCTGGGTCGGAGACGCACCGCCTGGCCGCAGGGGACAAAAAAGACTTAGGGTTTACTTACCTTTTGGTTAGTAGGGAATGGAGGAGTGGGGTACAATTATAGCCACTATTACTACCATTCTTCCATTCCTTACGAACCAAAAGGTAAGCTTCGTGGTTGAGGGTTTAGAAAGAAAGTAGATCCCTTAATGGGGGTTCAACATAAAGTACCCTCAGTAGTATAGCAATTCGGGGATCTGCTAGAAGGGTTTAGGGCCTGGGGCCTATAGGGTTCAGGGACCAACTCCAGGAGAGCTTTCGGGCCGCTGTTTTCGGGCACCTTACATCGTACTCTCATCTTGAGCCCGCTATCATTTAGTCTGTGTAGCCCCTTTAAGGAGTATTGGGCTCTCTGAGTCTTGAGTGCACAAGTTGCATGCAACTCTTTTCCAGAAGGCCTGGCACAGCGGGGTCGGAAGCCCGCAGGAAGCGGAGGAACCCGGAACTCGATCACATCTTCTTCGCGACTTCTAAGACAACTGCATTCCAGGAGTACTGAAACTTGCTTAGGTGTTGCCCACCGTGCTCACAGAGAGCATCGAACCCCTCCATTCAGTACTCTTCCTCCTTGTCCCTGCCATCTCGAGAAGCTGCGCCAAGTTACCCTTCGACCCTTCAGCGAATCTTCCAGATTACGGCGCCACTCAAAAACGTAGGCGTCCTCCAGGAACCCCGGGCTTGCACTGATAGCACAAAGATATCTGGGTAGTGTTCTCAATTCGGGGCCCTTTAATTAAAGGTCCCTTGTTTAAGGCTGCCGTACTGTCTCAGGGACATAACGGGGGCGCCGAATTTAGAGAACTGCCCATGTAGGTCTCCTGAAGGCCAAGTGATCCTGCAACTTCCGCTCCAAGTCTTTCGACGGTGAAGGGAGCGGTTGCTCGCAGAGGGCTGCTGAAAGCTTCCTCGGGGACGAACTGCCGCTGCTTGGAGGGCGATAAGTAAGTATAAGTACGCCTGACCCTAATTACCAGATCCCATGATCCTTGACGTAAGTGGTGGAGTTGTCATGGGCTTGTATTACGTTTTGTGTAAGCTGTGCAAGTATGTTAACAGCAATGACCCGGCGAAGTGCTGAAGCTCAAGCCAATCAAGGTTCAGCAGTACGCCCATAGGATGCATGACGGAGACGTTGGCTATGCCGTCGACCGCTGGGAGCGCACACTCAGTGAACAAGTTGCCTGGCAGGACTGCTCGCCAGCCGGCTGAAGGGTTTGGACATTGCAGATAATATAGAGGCTGTAATAATTAGAATAAGGGTTTGGGGCCCACTATAATTATACTGATGAACCACCAAAATAGAATTGGTAATTGCTTGGGGCCCTATACTAATCATGCATTCTCCGCAATAAGAGCCTTCAGTGTACAGTCTATAGCCAACTGTTGCTGATCGTAGGCAGTACCCAACAGGTACCCTCTGTCCTAGACTGGTGTTCCTGACAACGCCGACACACCCTGCAATTGCTCTAACTTTTCCGCTTTAACCTCACCCTAAACCTAAACCCTAAGCCCTAAGCCCGGAACCCTAAAACCACAAGCCCTGAACCCTAAAGCCTACAGAATCCGAGTTCAAACCACCCCGAAGACCCTCAGCGCATCCTAAACCCCAAACCCAAAACCCCAAACCCTAAACCCAAACCCCAAACCCCAAACCCTAAACCCAAACCCCAAACCCCAAACCCTAAACCCAAACCCCAAACCCCAAACCCTAAACCCTACCCCCCCCCAAACCCTAAACCCTACACTTGGCGCCCCGGTGGCCTTCGGCCATGAGGTTGCAGATGAACTTGCACTCCCGAATGCCGCTCTGACCTTAAGGCTTCAGGGTTTAGGGTTTAGGGTTTTATGGCTTTAAGGTTTTAGGGCTGTAGGGTCTTAGGATTTTAGGGTTGAGGGTTTAGGGTTTTATGGCTTTAAGGTTTTAGGGCTGTAGGGTCTTAGGATTTTAGGGTTGAGGGTTTAGGGTTTTAGGGCTTTAAGGTTTTAGGGCTGTAGGGTCTTAGGATTTTAGGGTTGAGGGTTTAGGGTTTTAGGGCTTTAAGGTTTTAGGGCTGTAGGGTCTCAGGATTTTAGAGTTGAGGGTTTAATTAGGGTTTTAAGGCTTTAAGGCTTTAGGGCTGTAGGGTTTTAGGGTTTGATTTTGGGCTTTTGGGTTTAGGGTACTTCCGGATGCCCACGGTGAGCGCGGCGGGGGAGGATCGAGGTCCTCTTTCAAACGCAACTAGGAGGATTTAGGGTTGTTGATGATAGCAAGGTTTCAAACTTGTAATTACGGAGGGAAGTTGTGGCTATCGCTTAAGCATCATTGCGCCGAGGAGACTAGGGTGACGTGCCTTGCGTTGGAGAACAGGGATTGCAGGCAAGCAATCTCTGCTTCACTAGGGCTTCCCAATATAGGGCTAAGGGAAAAGAAATCTCATGAAAATGGACAGCTGCAATAATTACAAGACAATGCAGTATTTGACAACAGCCCTCCCGCCTCGATACGGATGGTAGAATGAAGAAGCCGGCTGCTTTGTGAGGGCAAGCCCGACATTCTCCTGTAGGTGCTTCACGTTCTTGAACAAGCCTGCCGCCTTCGTGACCTCCTCTTCAGCGACCAAAACCGCAGGAGAACATCAGGGACCTGAAGCTGAATCGATTGCCAGAGGTCTATGCTTGCACATTGCTCCAAGGGATTTACGCTCGGGGTTTTGGGCATTTTGTTTGGATAGTTAGGAATGGTCCATTCATTGAGTCCCAACGAACCATCGGCCCTCAAGCCATGCACCTGTTTCCCATGCGTCTTGGAAAAAGTCTTAGCCCAGTAGCGGGGTCTGTACACTGTACAGCAAAGATGATAAAGGAAATCTGGCTACCCCTGGGGTTGGTTACCTCTAATTTTGGTTAAGGCTTCTTAGCCCGTGATCAAGCCGTGATCTCAGATCACATGGCTATCACGCGACAAGTAATCACAGCATAACCACGGAATAATCACGATGGAGGTAACCAAACGGATCCGTCGAGAGGTAACCGCACTACGCATATTAAAACGGACTGTGACGAGAATGCAGGGATTGCACAAGCCGGCCGCTCTTTGACGCAATCCATCCGATGGTTCGGCTCGCCTTTGCTTCCAACCCATCTTCACTCGTTGCGTCGCGGTCGGGCACATTCCCCTAATTTTAGTAAGTGGAGGATCCTGAGGATGGCTAGGGTTTCCCGAAAACGGTATAGGCTTAGGGGTTCGGGTCTGAGGTTTCAGTTTCCCTGTAGCATTTAAGCTGTATAAAGCTTAAAAAGCTTTGAAGGCTATACGGATGGTGTCCTGAAATGGTCCAGGGATCCTTCCCTAGTGGAAAACATTTCCTCATGGACTCCCTTGCAGCTTAGACCGGTCTGAACCGGTCGGAATTAGCCTCAGCCACCGCCTAGGAGTCGAGCCACCTGATTCTTGGGAACACGGGGTCATTGGGGGTTAATGATTTAGAGTTTAAAGGGTTTAGGATTTAGGATGGAATTTAGAGGTTGGTCGATTGGTGGGTTCGGGTTTCGCATTTTTTTCGCATGGGGGGCTGAGGGAGCCACCTGAAGACCCCTCGCGGCATCGTTCATGGTCAACTGCCGCGGGATGTCGTCCCTTGGTTCTCACGAGACTCGGATGGGTTTAGGGTTTCGGGTTTCGGGTTTAGGGTTTCGGGTTTAGGGTTTCGGGTTTCGGGTTAAGGGTGTCGGGTTTAAGGTTTAGGGATTCGGGTTCATGGGCTTCGGGTTCGTAGGTTTAGGGTTTCAAAACCTTCTTCCCACAACGAAAGGCCTGCAGCTTCCAAAGCCCGACACAACCATAATCTTAGGGTTTAGGTTACCCAAAGACTCCAATATCCCTTAATTAAGGAATATTCCTTAAATTATGGTAGCGTCCCTTATATGATTTAAGGTATATTCCTTAATTAAGGGATATTGGAGTCTCTGGGTAGAAGCTGCTCACACCCTGTAATAGTGACTATAAGGATTATATTCGGGCCCTGTTATATTCCTACTATACCACTATTACAGGGTGAGGGCCCCTTCTAGGGTTTAGGGTTTAGGGTTCGCAAATGAACTCCTGGAGCCCAATAAGCTGATATCGCTACAACCCAACACCCTTTCCAGACCTCCTAAAACTCCATACACCCTATACCACAACCCATAAACTTAAACCCTGAACCCTATCCATTCCTTCCAAGATAGGGGCCTTAATCATTAGAACAGGGTTTGGGAGCCATTGTACTATACTCATATTAAGGAACCCCCAAAATAATGTAGGTAAATTATGAAGGCCCCTATATCATATTACCCTTATGGATCCCTTATAGAAACCCTTCCAGATCCCTTTAAAGGAACCCCATTCTAGCTGTTAAGGCCCCTAAACTTAAACCCATGCACACCGAGACCGAGCATCTGCAATATACTTATATTGAGGAACCCCTAAAATAACATAGGCAATTATGAAGGCCCCTAAACTTAAACCATGGACCGAGACCGCAATTATGAAGGCCCTATAGTAAACCTAGGCGCATGGACCGAGACCCTAAACCCTAAACCCTGAACCCTGAACCCTAAACCCTAAACCCTAAACCCTAAAACCCTAAACCCTAAACGCGTAAACCCCAAACCCTAAACCCTAAAACCATGAAACCCTAAACCCTAAACCCTAAACGCGTAAACCCTAAACCCTAAACCCTAAAACCCCAAAACCCTAAAACCCTAAAACCCTAAACCCTAAACCCTAAACCCACACCGAGACCGAGCATCAGCGTCCTCATCTTCGGCCTCGAAGAGCTCCCCGAGCCGCCTTTTCCCCAAGTGCAGCAACCTCGCAGAGATTTCGGTGAGTTTCCGAAACTTAAGGGGGGTTCCTTTAATTTAAAGGGATGCTTTAAAGGTTCCTTGAAGGGATCTATAAGGGCTCTATAAAGGGCACTTAGGGGTAAGGGTTTCCGAAAATTAGGGGTACCTTTTTTGAGGGATAACAACTTCCCCACTTTCCTGATCTCGGACGACCGAGGCAGTGAGACCAGCAGCGGTAGAGGACTTCCCTGATGTGAAGACTGCTCGAGGTACTGAGCCAGCAACGTATTTTAGGAACTGACTCTTGCCGGTAACAGGGTCACCGACGACAGAAGCGTTTATATCACCTCTGAGCTTCATTTATACTAAGGATCCTACTATTTAGGGCACTATATTAGGGTTTCCTATTTTTCTGAAACTCCCAGTTGATGGAAAGGCTTTGGAGGTGTGAAGCTTGAGGCTTCAGGGTGTTAGGGCTTTCAGGGAATTTGGGGCTCTAGGGCCTTGGGGCTTAAGGCTTCCTGATGAAGAGGCTTCTGCTCCTGAGGAGCTAGGGTCGAGTGAAGTGTCTAGGAGGCTAAGTTAGGGTAAGGGTGTTGGTTTAAGGATTCAGGATCGGCGTGACGTGATTGAGGCTTTAGGAATCTGAGGTCTAATGGGGTTGACACGCTCATAAACCCGAGAACCTTCCACAAGGGAGTGAACCCCCTCATAACAGCAGTTACACCAATTACAATTGCAATTACAACGCTTACAAAGACAACTACAATGACTACAACAAATACAATTGCAACAACAGCAGCAACAACAACAACGACGCGACAACGAACGACAACAAGTTGTTCATGATCTTCATCGTCACCACCACCATCAACATCATGACCACATCACCGTTACAATCACCACCACCATCACCATCACCACCACCACCATCATCATCACCATCACCACCACCAACATCATCATCATCGTCGTCACCATGATCATGACCAGCCTGAGCAACATCATCACCATCACCACCACCGGTAGTCATAGCAAATGCTGCCAAAGCCTTAAAACCCTCAAGCTGCAAGAAGCCAACTCAAACTAGATCAGGGCCCGATCTAGACCCTACACCCCCAAACTTTTGCAATCTTAATCATAAACCCTATAAGCCCTCAACCCTAAACCCAAATCCCACGCCTCAAAACTCTAAACCCAAAGTCCTAAACCCTAAACCGCTTAAACCCTAAACCCAAATCCTAGACCCACAACGCTCAACCCCAAATCCTAAACGCCAAACCCTACATAAACTCTTAACCCTACACCCTGCACCCTCAACCGTCAACCCTCAAACGGTTCAGAACCCAGGAAACCCGAGGAAATTCTAGGAAAATAAAGGGAAACCCTAGAAAAGCCTTAACGTTAAACTCTTTTTCCTCTGAGGAGCAGCAGCACCAGGATAGATCGAATGAGCTGGTGCCCTGAATCCTTGGCTCAGCCTGGCAATTGTGGGATGAAAGGGTGTTGGGGTCTAGCGCTTCGGGCTTAAACAAGGGTCGATTTAAGGTTTATAGGGTTTAGGAACTTTGGGGTTTAGGGTTTAGGGTTTAAGTTTAGGCTCTAGGAACTTTAGGATTTAGGAGGCAATCACACCAAACAATCAGATTCATAAGTCTAGTGCTTGAGGAGAGAGCCACAGGCCTGAAATCTGACTTAGCAATGAAACCCTGGATCCAAAGGAAGTTTATTGCAAAAAAAGGTTTGACCAGGAGAATGGTCTTTAACCAACAACCAACCAACCTTTTTTCTTCGTGAGGCCTTGTGTCCAAATCGAACGCGCCAATAACCAACCAACTACTCAGGTCATGTTACTGGTCATTTACTGCTACTGGAGTAGACCCTGCATGGACCCTTATATATAGCCTGCAATTGGGTAACCCATCACTGGATCCTAAACCCCCAACCTGAAACCTCGAGGCCCAAACTCTCAGCATTAAATTTTCGGATTCACGTCTTTGGGTTTCTGGCAAAAGCCTAAGCCGAAACCTTAAACCCTGAGCCCGCAAACCTCCAAACCTCAAATAACACCCTCTAAGCCTGAGTCCGTTATCCCTAAAGCAGGAGGAAAGAACAAGCTATGGGAAATTGTAAGCCCTAGACCCTTAACCCTTCTTCACCGTAAACGCTAAGCCCTAAACCTTAAGCCCCGTTTGGGTTAGACCCTAGAGCCCAAACTCAGGAAAGACCCCAAAACTAGGAAACCCGATACCCCTTTAGGAAACCCTAGGAAACCCTATACCTCTTTTAGGAAAATCTTATGAGACCCTATGCCTTTTAGGCAGACCCTAGGGGCAACCCAACACCCTTTAAGGAAACCTCCGGTTTTTTGGGCGTGTGGCCTCGATGGGGTGGTAGACATTGGAGATGGAAGAGGGATCGGATTGAAGCTCGGTCAACCCGCCTTCCTCACAAATGCAACCCTAAACCGTTTTAAACTAAACCCTAAGCCCCCAATCCCAACCCTAGACCCTAAACCCAAGCCTAAACCCGGCAGGCTAAACCCGAACGCCTAAACCCTAAAGCCTGAAGCCTAAACCCTGAAGACTAAACCCTAAACCCTAAACCCAAAACCCAAAACCCTAACTGGGCCCAGGGTTTCCTTAAAGGGATTCCTAGGGTTGGTTAGGGATGGTCCATGCCTTCGCTCCTTACCAAGCAAAGGTAAGGTTTTAGGTGTCTTGTCCTGGTACTTCTGCTTCTGCATCGTACGCAGATCTGCCAACTCCTGCCCCTGCCTTGCAGACTCCTCAGGGTTTAGGGCTGACAGGATTCACGGTTCAGGGTTTGAGGTTCGGGGTCCAGGGTTCAGGGTTCATGCAGGGTTTCGGGTTTAGGGCTTTGGGTTCATGATGGTCACGAACGCAGGTCAGGGATGGGTTAGGATGAGGATTGAAGTGTTCGGTCCTTTGGTGGATTTGTTCCAGTGTCGTGTTGGTAGTAGTCTCAGTTGATATGTTTTCTTTTCCCCGGTGGGCGTCGGGGGGCTGGGGGATGGAGAGGGCGAGAGGTAGGGGATGGCGGAGTAAGACGTCTGTAGGAGATTTAAGACTTGAAATATTAACTGTTTTCAGGGATAGCTGTGCATGCTTCGGAGATGTTAGGTGTAGGGGTGGTTGTTTGTCGTTCCAAACTGTATTTTTGGCACAGTTTCATGCACAGAAACAAACTGACATCAAGAGAAATAACTGAACACGACGTCCACCAGAGACAAGCTAAATTGAGCCTAATCCCCAAACATCCCCAGACCCTGAAAAGAACAAAACACTCCGGGGGCCTGGAACATCTTGGCTGTTCGCTTCTCCGTCGTGTCACGGAGGAGGAAGTGGCTCTTCGCCTTAAATCTCGGCGGGGAATGAAGGAATGAAGTGCATTTCTGGGGTTCCTTAATAGGGTCAATGAATCATCGCGAAGCAGTTTCGAGTGTTAGCTACCCCAAGCAGTGTATTCCCAGGGATCGTTCATTGCTTCAGGCCATACCAGCCAACTTTAAGCCTTCGAACTAGACCAAGACAGATCCAAAACCTGGAAACCAGCGCTTAGGGTTTAGGGGTTTAGGGTTTCAGGTTTAGGTTTTAGGGCTTAGGGCTTAGGGCTTAGGGTTTTAGGGCTTAGGGTTTCTCCAACCACCAGTCTAACAACCCATCAACACCTTAAACCCTGTGCCTCAAATCATTGAAATCCCAAAACCTAAATGCCTACACGCCCAAAACCCCAAACCCTAAACCATTGAAGAGTCACATCCAGGATCTTCGTCACATGCTTCTGGTAGTCCAGCTCGACCCTCTTCGGGAGGACCAGGAATTCATCAGCTACTTCCCAGCCCATGCACTCCATGACGGGCATGGCTCCTGCGATGCAAAGGAACCGAATATCCTTGGAAGTTTCGGATCAAGCTTTTGGGGCTTGTAGGGTTTAGGCTTTTGGGGTTTAGGGTTTAGGGTTTTTGGGCTAGGCTTTCCAGGCGCCCCGCTTTCCTGGATGCGTTATACGCGGTGAAGCACATGATGCAACATCCAGGTCTTAGGGTTTAGGGTTCAGGGTTTAGGGTTTAGGGGCACCTTCAAGCAGATGTGGAACCAAATCTGCACACGAACCTGTGAAGGATCCGCGAGGAATTGAGGAGACCGACAACAAAATCCCGTTCAGCCCAGTCCCGACCATGCCTCCTCCTGAACAGTCTCAGGCAACCAACCATCCTGAAACAGCAAAAAAACAGTGGAAACAACAGTAGAAAACATCTCATCTCCAAACCCCCTTTAAAACCTCAATCCAAAAACCCGACATCCTAGCTCCCCTCGCTCCTGACAGGCCGAGGAGGGGCGCCAGCTTCTCGTTGCTGGTGCGGAGTCTCCTGAACTTCTCCTCCTGTGGAAAACGCACCACGTTGCGCACCACGGTCTCCAAGACTTCCAGGCCATGCAAGGCGCCCTGAGGCGGTAGCGCCTTCAGGGTTCTGGCTTCAGGGCTTCTTGGGTTTATTGGGTTTAGGCGGCTCTATGGGGTGTCTAAGGCTTATCGGGCTTTCTTGGGGTGACTATAGGGGCCTTAGTGATTAGAATAAGGTTTATGGGGCCCTTTTCTTTCATGAGGCTTTGGGTCCAATACGAACGCGCCTATTGCACCTGAATTCAACTCGCAAACAAAAAGGGGAAGGCGCTCAACTACCGCCTAGTATGCACTCACAAATGCTTTGCAGAAGTGGAGCAGAAATCTAGGCGGCAGGAGCAGGCAGGCATGCAGGCACCCGTCACCCAGCAGTGCAAAAGCTGTATGATGCCTGCCACAACCAGCCACAAAACTTAAACAGGCATGGAGCACCTGAGCTTTTCAAGCCCAAAACAAGGGTCGTAATCAGACCCCTACAACAAATTCAAACGTCACGGCATCGCTATGCTACCCAGAGCCTATTCCTCGCGGGATTGGGAGAGGCAAACTGCGGGGTTAATCCCACACAGTCACAACACAGGTCCTCACGGATATGGTGAGGTGATCCCTACACAAGGCACTAATCCTAGATGTCACAACACCTTGGAAGAGGTAATATAAAGACATCAAGCAAACAAGCGCGTGGCAATTACTGACAGGTCCACAGCGCAATAAACCATGCAGCTTTGCGCCTATTCCTCCAGGGGCGAGGGGAGGCAAACAGCAAAGCAACACCCCACACGATTGTCACAAAAGAACCGTGTCCACTCAAGACATGCGTGTATGCACAGTGACTGCGTTTATGCAAGCACGCATGCCGAGCTTAGTCACAACCAAACAGGGGCTGATGAAATGAAAACTCAGCCATCACTATACACGTCGGCTGTATCACTTGGCTATCTTTCTTTGTGCCTCACTATCTGCTCACTGGTGTTTCGGGCCGCGTAGTAAGACTTGATGACCCGTCACGGTGTTGGGTAGTTGGCTGCCCTCCAGGCTCCGGTTGAACACATGCCCAAACGTCAAACTCCGCAGGCTGCTGCGTAGTTGGCTGCTCTCCAGGCTCCGGTTGGACTCATACCCAAACGTCAAACTCCGCAGCCTACTGCGTAGTTGGCTGCTCTCCGGGCTCCGGTTGAACGCATAGCCAAACGTCAAACTCCGCAGGCTGCTGCGTAGGTGGCTTTTCTCCAGGCTCCGGTTGAACTCATACCCAAACGTCAAACTCCGCAGGTTGCTGCGTTGTTGGCTGCTCCGGTTGAACGCATAGCCAAACGTCAAACTCCGAAGGCTGCTGCGTAGCTGGCTGCTCTCCAGGCTCCGGTAGAACACATAGCCAAACGTCAAACTCCGAAGGTTGCTGCGTAGTTGGCTGCTCTCCAAGCTCCGGTTGAACGCGTAGCCAAACGTCAAACTCAGAAGGCTGCTGCGTAGCTGGCTGCTCTCCAGGCTCCGGTAGAACGCGTAGCCAGACGTCAAACTCCGCAGGCTGCAGCGTAGTTGGCTGCTCTCCAGGCTCCGGTTGAACGCATAGCCAAACGTCAAACTCCGCAGGCTGCTGCGTAGTTGGCTGCTCTCCAGGCTCTGGTTGAACGCATAGCCAAACGTCAAACTTCGCAGGTTGCTGGGTAGTTGGCTGCTCTCCAGGCACCGGTTAAACGCAAAGCCAGACGTCAAACTCCGCAGGTTGCTGGGTAGTTGGCTCCTCTCCATGCTCCGGTAGAACGCATAGCCAAACGTCAAACTCCGCAGGTTGCTGGGCAGTTGGCTGCTCTCCAGGCTCCGGTTAAACGCATAGCCAGACGTCAAACTCCGCACGTTGCTGGGTAGTTGGCTGCTCTCCATGCTCCGGTAAAAGGCATAGCCAAACGTCAAACTCCGCAGGTTGCTGGGTAGTTGGCTGCTCTCCAGGCTCCGGTTAAACGCATAGCCAGACGTCAAACTCCGCACGTTGCTGGGTAGTTGGCTGCTCTCCATGCTTCGGTAGAAGCCATAGCCAAACGTCAAACTCCGCACGCTGCTGCGTAGTTGGCTGCTCTCCAGGCTCTGGTTGAACGCATAGCCAAACGTCAAACTCCGCAGGTTGCTGGGTAGTTGGCTGCTCTCCAGGCTCATGACGTACCGCCTTCCGCTACGCGGCCATGGCATGCGGTACTGGGGCTACCGAGATTCCTCAATGGGCGACTCGAGCCCTTTATGGGGCCCATTATACTATGAAACATATTATGCGGGGCCCCCGAACGGTGTTGGTAATTCTGAAGGCCCCTTTTTGTGTTTTTACGGCCCTTTTATTATGGAGCTTAGGGCTTACATGGCTCCATCGAGTCTTTGGGGCTCAAAGCGCGCGCCTTCAGAAGCCTCTCGAAGTCGGCCTCGCTCTCGTTGATCGTAGCCATGTGGTTGCAGCGCCCGGTCACGACGGACGGCGAAGTTCTAGCATTCTCTATTTCTGAAAAAGTTCAAGGTTGCGGAGGTCACACATGCTGAAGGAAAAAGCCTAACATAGGGGGCCTGAATCATTAGAATAGGGTTTTGGGGGCCATAATACTACAACTATAGTAAGGAACCCCCAGAATAGTACCGGAAATTATTTGGATTTAGGCCCCTAATCGTATATTTTTCTAGTATTCAAGCCTGTCCCATGCCTCCTTCAACCCGAAGTTCGGTCTTTCCTTCTGCTTCCTTGTGCCCTACACCAGGAGGGTTTAGGGTTTAGGGTTTAGGGACTTACTAATTACATGAACGCATCCCATAGCTCAACTAAACCCCAAACCCCCAAGAAAACCCATGTAAAGCCACAGCCCACTCAAAACCATCCCAAAACTCCAATATTCAGACCATGTTGTAAATTTCCTAAACCGAAAAACCTAGAAACCTGAAGCCCTAAGACCAGCAATCCCTAAACCCCAAACCTTAAACTCGAAACCATCAATCCCTCAACCCTGAACCCTCAGTAAACTCCTGACCCTAAACCTACTCCCCCCATAAACCCATCCCTTATCCATGCTTGCAGAGCCAGCTGCTTCGAGGTCTCGATCTGCTTTCACCGCCGCCGCTCACTTCCAGAACCACTTCCACTTTGATCTCGTCCAAGCGGGGTCCTTGCCCCACAATAAACGCGACACCGGTTTTATTCGGGCTTATAGAGTTTAGGATTTAAGGTTTTTTTTTTTTTTTAAGCACCTTTTTCCGCCTGCATGAAGCCTAGGATTTAAGGTTTAGGGTGTAGGGTTTTGGTTTTGGCTTGAATGGGCCACAGTCTAATATTAGGGGGGTGCATGTTGCTCGGGTTTCAGGGTTTGGGCTAGGGCCTAGGGTTGAGGGCCAGGAGGGACCGCGGGTGAGGTTTGCAAAGCGATGTCCGGCAGTTTCAGATGGTTCGGAATGGCCAGGGATGGTTGGGGACATGCTCGGCGCAGACCCCCTAATTAACGTCATGGACATGATGTGATAAATCAAGCCTTAGCCTTCACAGGAAACCCAAACCACAAGCCCAAGTCCATCAAGGTGCCCTGGTTTCCTTTCGATGGCTCCAAGCAAAGGAAAGGGTGGTGGAAAAAAGGATTGAACCATCCCTACCATTCCTAGATTTCCTCAAAGTGATTCCTTCGGATGGTAGGGATAGTTCCTTGAATTGGGTCTAGGGACCTGTCAGCTGTCAGGGTCTTATGGGGGCCGGGGCCTGGTTTGAAAGTGGAGCTCCCAATTAGGTCGAGCTGTGGGCCCCTCCAAGAATACTTGGGTCGCATCGATGCAAACGAATGCCGAAGAATGTGAATCCAACGTAGGGTGACACATCTTATGCTGAGAAATCTGAGAGACCAGTCCAATTTGAAGTCAAAAACGGCCGAGGACAGCAAGAAACACCAAAACCACTGCAAGTGGAGGTCATTTGAGCCTCATCAACTGCATTAGAACAAGCCCCAAATAAAGCCCAAACTGAAAACTGAAAAGACACACTGGATGAGCAACAAGACTCAAGCCATCAAGCCCCAAAAGACGAAGACATCGAGCTCAACACACCTAGCCTCAGAAACATAATCCAAGCATGAAAGCCCTGAGCCATGATAACGACACAATCCTGACAGTCTAACCCTCCAACCACCAACCCTAAACCCTAAACCCTAATAGCCTAAACCCTAAACCCTAAACCCCCAACCCAAACCCCAAACCCGAAACCCTCCTCCCTAAACCCTAACCCCTTGACTTCAGCCCCGCAAATCCTTACGCCCGAAATAAAAATCCAAAAAGAACTAAAACGCGATACCCATATCATTCCAACCTTCCCAGCCCTATCATCGATCTGCTTCCACCCGTAACCCCCAACCCCTCAACAAACCCTAAACCCTAAACCTATAAACACCCAAAAGCGCCTCGTCCTTCGATTCCTCCGCTGGTGAGGTTTCTGATGCCTGCGGTGAAACACTTGTGCCCCCGGATTTCTTGTCGGGTTCTGTTGGGGCTTAGGGTTGAAGGTTTAGGGTTTCAGCTTTAAGGCTTACGCAGGGTTTGGAACAGCTCAACTTAAGGGTGAAGCTCTGAATATTAAATCCGAATATCCTAAAGTCCTACACCCCAAACGGCATAACTACCCTTCATCAACGTTTTCTGTAAGGGCCCTCAAACCTCAACGAGCCTCAGCCGGCCGACAGGTCCACATACTTCCAGAAGCCCCGGGCACAATAAGGAACCTCCAAAATAATTCAAAATTTCTCGGTCTGGTTGAACTCTCTGCCAAACGTCAAACTCTGCAGGCTGCTGGGCAGCTGGATGCCCTCCAAGCTCTGGTTGAACTCTCTGCCAGACGTCAAACTCTGCAGGCTGCAGGGTAGTTGGATGCCCAAGCCTTCGCAGTCCTCCGCCCATCAAAGGATGCATGGGGTGCTCGGCCCAGAAACGGGCTCCCTATCCAGCGCTGCCTGGATGTTGCTCATCGGGTTGAGATTTGTGATTGTCTTTTGCACGATGTCGGTGTCAAGGCTTGGGCACCAGAACCAGGTTTGCATACAGATCCGCGAAACGCAGTTCTGTGTGATACGACAAACATCCCCCTCTCGGACTCACAGCACGAAAGCCACGAAGTCTGAGCATTGGGCTGTAACCGCTCGCCGGCATGCAGGCTGGGGCACGGAATCGAAGGGTTCAACCCATTCTGTGCCCTAGCGGCTTGAGTCTCATGAAGGACTGGAGAACACAAAGGCGAATGGCATTGCAATCTTCGAAGGCAGGCTGAGACACGAATGCCTGGTATGTTATGACTGTCATCAACTACAAGCAAGCATTTATGGACCCCCATAGTTGGAACCAAGCAGAATAGGCATTGACACGGACATGTAAAGGTGCCATCGCTACCTCGGGCTCCACAATGATCTGAAGCCAGCATGCTGATCCTGGCAGCGGAAGGGCCCAAACGTGGCGACTTCGGTGTTAAGCTGAGGCATCCCGGGAAGAAGAGCTAGCCCTACCTCTGCCCCGGAGGAGAAATCCGAACCCCCGGAATCCCCTACAGCCGGTGCTCTAAACCCTGGGCCTTCGAAAGCCCGTAAGCTCCGTTGTCTGGATTGAAGGCTTGGGGTTGCGCAGGGGATTCCGGGGCTCTGAACCTCAAACCCTGGGGCGGGCCCTGGGGCGCGGGATTTCCGAGGCCGCCGGAGGACCATGCTCCAGCGGCCTCAAATCCAGCAATGCAGATTCGGGAGTATGGTGTCTGGGGCTAAGGTTCTATCTGACGTGAGCGACGTGTGAAAACTCCCCAATGCTTCTAGCTAGCCAACCTAGCACTACCCAGATGCCCCGATCTGAACCCTAAACCCGGCCTTTTGCTACAGGAGTGTACTCAAGCAATCTCAAGCAGCCATGGGTTCAATGGTTTTACAGCGCGGGGTCGAGCTTTAGGGTTCAGGGTTCAAGGTTTCAGGCCATAGGCCATACTTGGAAGGGCAGGGGACTTAGTAAGTAGGTTATAAGTAGAGTTATAAGTACCCCAAACGGAGTTACCCCAATTATAATCCTACTTATAACCTACTTACTAAGTCCCCTGCCCTTCAAAGTAACCTAGACGAAGCGAATCGAATACCCAAGATGCCAAATCCTCCCTGCGCACGAAACCCTCTATAGAACCCTTATAGATCCCTTTAAGGAACCCTTAAAGGATCCCTTTAAAGGAACCCCCAATTTTCAGAAACTCCCAACTCGCAGTCAAAAGGACCGCGGCCTCCTCCCTGCGGCCGCCCCTGCGGGTGCAAAGTGCTTGGAAGGGCAGGGGACTTAGTAAGTAGGGTTTAGGGTTTAGGGGTTTAGGGTTTAGGGTCTAGGGTTCAGGGTTTAGTAAGTAGGTTATAAGTAAAGTTATAAGTACCCCAAATAGAGTAACCCCAATTATAACCCTACTTATAACCTACTTACTAGGTCCCCTGCCCTTCAAAGTGAGGGGACACAAGCTGGGCTCGTGTTTAGGAAGTCCTTGTTTAGGGTTTTAGGGAAGTTGCCGTGATAGGGATCTATAGAAGACATTTTAGTTTCCTGATTATGGTAACTTAGATTTAATCCCTTAACGAGACACAGAAAGGGAACGTTAAAAAACTGACAACGGCTTCTGCCTCAGGTTCTGAGGGCTAAGTTTCAGGGGCTCAAGCGGTCAGTGGCCTCTGGATTTATAGGTGTTAGGGGCTTGATCAAGGATTTTGGGTTCGCATCTCGAGGTGTAGATGTCTCGGGAGTCACGTGTTCAGGTTCCAGCGTTCAGGTTGATAGTGCCGACTGCATGTAGAGTGGGGATTCAGCCTGCCCGTCTATCTCCCCTGCCATCCCTCCGTCCTGAATAAAACCCGATAAGAACTCCCATTGTGGGCCGAGTCCTCTCTGCCCTCCGCGCAAACCCGACTGCTTTCTAGGGAAGCCTGAAGCTGGGGTCCGCGTAGCATGACGGCTCGGCGTGATAACCTCCCGAAGGCTTCTATCGTCGCAGAGATGTTTTCAGACGGTCAGCAGTGATCAGTGATCGGACTCGGCTGGGCCATGGACATGCCGCCACGTACTCCAGCACAACGTTGAAGGGCAACTGCCGCCAGCCGTCCCCCAAGTCCTGAGCTTTCAGAGGTTCCGCTTACATCGTGGCTGAGACAGCCAAGGCCGGGGCCATGCTGTGCTGTTGCCTCGACAAGGAAACAAACACTAGCTGCACTAGCTGTGCCCTGGAGCAACATCCACCCGGCCGGTTCAAAGCAAGCGACGCGTGGATGTAGTACACCAGCGCCCCTGCGACGCGGACACTTCAGACTACAGTCAAGAACTGAAGATAGGAAGTTTCCAAAATTTTCCAAAGTGCATCGGACTTTTCGGAGGTTGAGGGCTCGAATCGTTGCTGATGCGCACCATGCAGCAAAGGAGGGGCAATCGCGGACTCATGTCGCACAAGGAAACCCTAAGCTGCTTAAGTTTCGGCCTCTGTGCAGCAACTGTTTGCCGAACATATACTTCTTGTGCGAAAGGAGAGCGGGCAAAGCAGGGATCGTGTCTTGCCTGACAGGCAAAGCCGCAAGGCTCTCTGTTTCGCCGCCCGGCAAGTCCGGCAGCTCTGTCTCAAATCGAAGCCGCAAGGGTCCGTCCGTGTTTTCGGATCATTGCGCCTACGAGGTGCGAGGTTCTTTCAGGTCAGCAGCGCTACCAGCAGGTTTTTGTGGAGGACCGACCATCTTGGGAAGGTCCTTCACTTCTCAGAGTCCCCACGATCGACTTACCTTTAACATGCGCACATGCTCTGGGCTGAGAACACTTCTGCAACTGCTGACTGCTCGCTCTAATTCGGCACCCATCGCAAGCAGGCAGATTCGCCTTTGCTGCAATCAGCGCCACTTGCAATTCTGCAACGACAGGGACCGGCTTGATCTTCAGCAGGCTGAGCAAATACTTTTGAAGAATGCTTCTCTCAGACTCGTTTAGCTCTAATGCCAGCTACTGGCTCTTGCCGCCGCGGGAAGACTGTTTGCATCTCCGGGCTACTGCAGGGAGAAAAGGCAAGGGAAATTGTCTGGAGCAGGCTCACTTAGTGGAATTTAGATGGGGATACGAAACATTGGGCTGTGCAGGCATGCTTGCGCCATGCTGCCTGACGCTCTTCGGAGATCACGGAAGGTGGCACCCACGTCCATCTTCTGGATCGCAGGCTAATCGGTCCTGGTTGCACGGGAGATGCAACCTTGCTAAATTGCTCAGCACGCACCCAACCAATCAAGAAGACCCGGCAGCCCTCGCGTCCCAGTCAATCGCATCCTGCAGCTGCTGCACACATCCGAATCCGGTCACATTAATCCAACAGCCTCATCTCTACCTTACCTGCCAGAATCTTACAACGGCAACTCTATGCTTGAAACAAAATGCCCCGCGGGCCTCCGGAACCGTCGGCTTCGCCGCAAGGCCCTCGGGCACTTGCGGCAAGTCCGGCAGCTCTGCCTCAAACCGAAGCTGCAATGTCACGAGGGTCCATGCAACCAGTCCATGCTTTCAGATCGTTACACCTGCGAGGTGCGAGGGGATTTTCAGGTCAGCGCCGCTACCAGCAGGGCTTCTTGCGACTGTGGAGGACCAACCACCTACGTCAACAACTCTATGCTTGAAAACCCTACCCCGACCCTCTTCCAACATGCCCCAACGGGCCTCCGGAACCCTCGGCTTCGCCGCCGGGCAAGTCTGGCAGCTCTGCCTCAAACCGAAGCCGGCAGGGTCCGTGCTTTCGGATCATCAAGCGAGGTGCGATGACTTTCAAAGGGAGCTGCAATGCTGCGCGCCTGTCTAGCCGAGAACACTTCTGCAACTGCTAACTGCTCACTCTAATTCGGCACCCATCGCCAGCAGGCAGATTCGCCTTTGCTGCAATCAGCGCCACTTGCAATTCTGCAAACAGGGACCGGCTTGATCTTCTGCAGTGCACGCGGATACTTTGAAGAATACTTCTCTTGGACTCTTTTAGCTCTAATGCCAACTTACCGGCTCTTGCCGGTGCAGGAAGACTGTTTGCATCTCCGGGCTACTAAAAGGCAAGGCAAATTGACTGGAGTAGCCTCACCTATAGGGATATGGTGAAACTTTGATTGAATGAAATCCTGCCGGGCGCAAGGCCAGCCCCAAGCGCGTGCATTGAAGCTCACGATGTTCGTCAATCGGATCATAATTGCCATCGCATGTTTCGCCCATCACGTAGATTGCCCACGGGTGGTTTTCATGTTTCAAGGGATTAAGAGACTGCCAGTTGCCCTGCGCAATGCGCATCCGGACCTTTTTCTCCAACCACGAGTTCTCCCCCTGTTTGAACCGGAAGGTCATGATGCCTTCCAGGGCGAAATTACTGTATCCAAGCAGGTGGCCTTGCGAGAGGCTCAGGAAGGAGTTGTTTTTGCCGTAGGGTAGATAGAAATCTTTGGAAACCATAAGGGATGAGTGTCTACCACAAAGAACCTTTACCCTGTTGGGTTTGTCAAGCTCGTCGTCGATGACACAGCGCTCTTCTATTGGCTGGCCCGGAGTGATGCTCCACCAAATTGGATGGAACTTGACCCCGTCCAAGGTTGCACCGTTGAACCCAAGGAAGTCTAAGTGGTTGTCCCGTACTGCGACGGAGACATTCTCTGACACATTCCACGTTTCCACTTTCTTGTCCTTGTCTGGGATGCAAAGTCCGTCTGTGGTGTACTGAATGAGTCCGCTGGTGGACTTGCGAGTGGACAGAAGGGAGTCACAGTCATCCTCCGCAGCATCTGGAACAGCCAAGAAAACCATCAGGGCCCATGCGCGCTTTAACGCGGATGGGCAAGGCATTTTGCCTGCAAATCGAGGTGACCCTGCTTGTAAACCTTGAGCCTACTAGCTAATCCCAGCACATCCCAGCTCCTTGTGCACTCCTTGACCCATTGGGCTGTGCAGACCAGGGGACAGCCCGGCACAGACCTGCAATTCCCTCCTGCAGGCGCGTCGCTTCACAGCTACACTGCCAATAGCATAAACTCCGTTCATTAAGATGTGTAGCATGAGATCGTGTCGTTATCGCTAATGATCTTACGATCCACGATCCGGACTCGTCTTTGCTTCACTTCTGCGATCGTCGCACACTTCATGCTACATAACACACAATCATAATAATTCATCTCTGCGTCCCTTTCCACATCTTCAAGCCAACTCTCCTCGCCACGGGGCCTCTTCGTAGACCTCCGTCTTCTGCCATGAGCCATCCCATGCAAGCACCTCACCAGGTTTAGGCAAAATCTAAATACCCGGCAAAACAATTCCGGCCCTGTCGAGATAATCCCAAATTGGCAGGAGGAATCACCGTTCGGATTGAGGAACCCAACTCAGTCATTCTTTTACTCTAGAGGCCTGAGCTCTACGCCAGCAGCGAGCCTGTCTCCAGAGGCGACGCTGGCGGCTTCGGCCTCCCATCTTGCCAGGCTCCAGCTCGCTACTTCGCTTCTTCTTCTTAGTTAGTAGTCTGTTACATTCTAAGGTTTAGGGTTTAGGGTTTAGGGGCTTAGGGTTTCTGCACTTCTTGTGCAAATTTCTGGCCTTGCCTTGGCACAGCGCTTCTCTTTCGAATCGAGCTTTCAGAGCCTGGCGTTCCACCTTGACGCCCAACAAAACAGGGAGAAGGCAGTCGACTCCAGAGTCTTCGTGCTGCAAAGCTGCCTCCATGGCAGCCCGCCCCTCCAAGTCCACCTGTTCGCGGCTTCTCTGCTTTTCTCTGAATCTACTGAGCATTCCTCAATCAATATATGTATATATATATATAACAATATCATATACATATAAGTCTCTCTACATATACATATATATGTATGTACGTAGGGCCTTTAGGGTCTATTTGGCGTTGGCTTCTTTCTATAGGCGTCTAAAATTAAAACCACCGGGCGTGTAGAACTCAAAATCTCAGGGCTATTCAAATTCAGAACCTCAGGGCTTCTTAAATCTAAAACCAGAGGGCTTTGAAAAATTAGAAGCCCTGGGTTGTTAAATTTTAAAATCCTTGGTCCTTGAAATTCTTTACAATTTGAAAGCCGGGTCAAGACTCCAGGCCACAGAGATAGATTTATTAAAGTATCTTTAACCTCTTTAAATTCCTTCTTGTAGGGCAGGTCTTGTAGCAGCAAGCATGGCAGCCAGTTGCGGGATGCCTGGCATGTTATACGTGTCATCAACTAGAAGTGTTTATGGACCCTCCTCTGACTTTATACCTGGAACCAGGCAGCTGGCATTCACCCGCACATGTAAAGGTGGCATCCCTACCTCGGGCTCCAAGATAATCAGAAGCAAGCATTCTGTTCCTGGCAGCGAAGGGGCCCAAAACGGGGAGAGATCTCTGCCTTGGAGCCCGAGGCATCATATGGGCGTTTCCGAAAATAGGGGACCCAAATCTAGTACCCGAAATAGTAGGATCCTCAATATAAGGACCCCCAAAATAAGGTACCCCTGTTTTCGGAATCGGGAAGAAGCTGAGGCAGCCCTACCTCCGCTTTGGAGTGTGGTCGAGAAGCCCACGCCCCCGACAACGTCATCGACCCAAGCCCCTCCGTCAGGGTTCAAGGTTTTGGGCTGTGGGGGATTCAAGCCCTTATAAACCCTAAACTTCCCCAAACCCTGAACTCGGGGGTGGATTCCAGGGCCGGGGTTGGACACGCAAAAGCTTGAAAGCCTTGCAAGCCGCCAGTCGACCATGCTTATTCAGAGCTGGAAACCGGTTTAATCGGGTATGCAGATTGGGGAGTACGCTTTGGGGCAAATATTCTACCATGTCGAATGAATGCGACCCAACATGCTATGCTCATGAATGCTAGGCGGAAGCTCCTTAACGCTTCGACCAGCAAGACCTAGCACTACCCAGATCCCGGATGAGTTACCTCAAAGTCCAAGGCCGCAAAGCTCCAACGTGCGAAATCCACAAGAGCCAATGGGAAATATGGAGGTCCTGATTATTCCAACGTATCGTATAATCAGGGATTCCAAAACGTCGCCCATATCCGAAAGGTATTGATATTGACGGTCGCGGCATCTGTTTGCTGAACGATCTGCGCTTAACATCAAAACCCCAGACAGGATGTGAAGACCTAAACTATTAACGTCAAACCCCCTACAAAATCTGCAAACCTTGCATGAAGCCTCCTTCCCTAAAGCCCCGAAATCTCTCAAAACAACGCATGAAGAAAAAAGCAACGCTTCTCAAAAGAAAGCCCTCAAAATCATACCCCTCCATGCCTCCGCGATCTGCTGGCCGCCTGGTGAAACGGAGCGCTTAAAACCTGCCAACAGCCTCTGCCTTGGGTTTCATGGCGAAGGCGTTCCAAGTCTCGGGACATAGGGGTTCAGGATCCAGAGGTCAGGTTGATACTACCGACTGTTTTTGTGGACTGGCGACATCCTTAAGGCTCTGAGGCTTCCGGTACCACAAAGACGCTCGCGGCTTCAGTTCAAGAGGCTGGGGCCCAACAAAGAGGGCCTCGGTCCCGAAGTGCATCGGAGGGCGGCTCTTTCTCGGAAGGCGAGAGCTCGTCGGCAGTGGCTGTGAGAAGCCCAGGAAGCAGTGGCTCCTCCCAGGACTTGGTTCAACTTGTCTTTGCAAGCCCTACGTCCTGAGTAAAACCTCAAAGGAAAGGAAGGGCGCAAGCTCAAGTCTGAGGACCCCACAGCAGGTGCTAAGAGCCCCACTCCCTTTTGCTCTTCGCTTTTGGAAAGTCTTTCTTCGGAAAAGCTTCGGAACGTGAAGTCAGTCTCCGGGCCGAGCACAGCATTTCGCTTTTAGGAAGGTTGTGGGCCTTGTTGTGGTTTCAGGATTTCGGGCCTCGAGGCGGCATGGCCATGTAGGCGCATCGCGGGCAGAAGATAGAGCCCAGGGACCCGTGACTAAGCCAGGTCGACGGTGTCTGGTGCTCGGCTCGCAGACGATGACTTCTGCGCACGCTGCGCATGAAACGAACGAGCGATGCAACACAGCCTTAAACGCTCCACAGCCCCTAAACTACTAAAGCCACAACCTTCACAACCCTCGAGCTCGTCAATCCCGTGTCAAACAATCCTCAACTCGTCCCTACGATCCTCAACTGCAGCCCAAAGAACCTTGAAACTCCCCAAACCCCACACCACAAACACGGAGAACCCTTAAACCCCGAACCCAAAGCGACCCCCAAACCCCAAAGCCTAAGCAACTCCCCTGCCTCCTCCACACCTTGCTGCCCTCTCTGGGCCGAAGCAAGACCTGGCGCGAAGGCCTACTCCACCGGCCCAATGTCCCCAAAAAAACACAATGTATAGGGTTTTAGGGCTTCGGGTTTATACTACAGTTTGGAGACGAACTTCAAGAGAGCTTCCGGGGCCGCTGTCCGGCTTTGGTGTTGGGAGTTTGCGGCTTGTGGGGCCTCTGAGGTTTGAGTTTTTTGGTGTCTCGGCACTTTGTTCGGGTGGGGAAGTTTAACGCTTGACTGTGTTTACCACACACGTATCGGACTGAAGATGGGTTCGGGCTGGGCTCGGGGTCGGAAGCCACCTTCGTTCTGCTTGGAAGGTGGGAAGCTTCCGATCCCAAAGCCCTGAGAATCCATGAGCCTGGAAGCTCTCTCGTGCTCGGGGCCAGGAGGAACTCTTCAGGCCCAAAGTGCACACAAAGTGGACCTAACTTTTCCCGGAAGGCGCGACGTGTCGCAGCAGAGAAGCTCGCAGGAAACGGAGGCACCCGGAACTCGGATTCATGTTCTCCTACGACCTCAAGACCCAAAGCCAACATCTAGTTGAGCCCCGTACAAAACTCTCATGAACGCTGGCCCCCCCACAGCAACGATTGATGATATAAATCCTGCATTACCCATAACAAAGAATTTACCATAATTCCCATAGTCTAGGGTGCTTAAGGTAATGCAGGATTTATATCATCAACCGAAGTGTCCACAATGTCCCCGCCCCTCTTGGCTCTTGTCGGGGCTTCCTTCGGAACGTCTCGGGCCCGAAACCCCAAAACCCCGCCCTGAATAAACCCTAAATCCTCAACCCTAAACCCTGAAACCCCAAAACCCTAAACCCCCAAACCCTTAAACCCTAAACCCTATAAACCCTGAACCCTAAACCCTAAATCCCAAACCCTAAACCCTAAATCCCAAACCTGAAACCCTGAACCCCTTCACAAGGGGGGGTCAGTCCTATGCTCCTGGGATCGGCCTAGCAGGCTTCGGCCGGTGAGCCCCTTACTTGGAAGGGCAGGGGACTTAGTAAGTAGCTTATAAGTAGGATTATAATTTGGGTAACTCCGTTTGGGGTACTTATAACTCTACTTATAACCTACTTACTAAGTCCCCTGCCCTTCCAAGTAAGAAACTCCAGAACCGGACACAGTCATTTTTTGGAGTTTCCAAAAATAGGGGACCCTAATATAGCACCCTAAACAGTAGGATCCTTATTATAAGTACCCCAAAATGAGGTACCCCTTCTTTTCGGACACAGCCACTTTTCGCACGCTGGATGTGTGGATCAATCGAAGGCTTGCCGGGAGATTCGAGGTTTCATCCTCGAGGAGATGCTTCGGCGCCACGCAACGAAGGAAGAAAGCTTTGCCTTAACCTACCCAAAACCTACTTTTTGTAGGGTCCCTATAAATTCCATAGTAGGGTTTATAATAAGAACCTACAAGAAAGTAGGCTTTGGTAGTTTAAGGTAGGGTTTAGGGTTTTGGGTTTAGGGTAGTTAGAAGTCGGTGTTATAAGTAGGGTAACTGACATTTATCGCGCTTCACCCTTTTTGGGAAAGTGCTTGTAACTCGCCGACAATAACTCCTCGAAGCTCGACAGGGAGTCCCGGCACAGCTGCCCCTGGTCGTTCCTGAAAGCATCCTTGATCAGTGGCTTGTATTTCTGTTGCGTGCAACAGTCGAGCGCCTCACCGAGGAATTTCTTCCGAGCGCACTCCAGCATCCCTCCTGGCTTCGGGCCATGAAAATGTAAAATCCTTGGCGGTCCAAATCAAGCATCAAGCGTTTAAATGCTGTAAACAATACGTATACCTTGGCAGGGATTATAGCATAATTCTGTCGTATATAAGTTGGCATATACATGGCCGCCCCAATTCGAGGGTGTCATGTGGTTTCCAAGGATCTTTGGTTTCACTTGGGAGTCGGCTCCCCAGTAGCACTTGTAGTTGTACTCATCGGGAAGCGCGAGGATGTCCTGGTCGTCAAGATCCTTGTCCTTGGGGGACCAATGGGTAGTTCTCCAAATTAGGTCATTGGTTTCCGTTGTTTGAGGGCGCCGTGCTATATAAGGGAACCCCAAAAGGGGCCCCTATTTTAGAGAACCACCCAAACGACACCCGAAGAGGGCTTGTATTTTGATTCCTGCATGTACCTCACGAACTGTAGTAGCGTAGGGTATGTGACTCCAATTTTCGGGTTTATTTGGTACACCAGGAGGTCCTGCTTGAAGTATTTGTTCAGGGCGTCCTGCTCACATGCCCCCTTGATCTTTATGAAGTTCTTCAGGATTCTCTCTGCAATCGCCAGCTTGAAAGTCTTAAGATTCACCACGACGACGCCCGTGTTTTCAAAAAACCTGCCCTTCTTGAATTGGGAGCCCCAGGCGATGACTCCAGGACGCGGCAGCTCCTCCATCCCGAAGGAAGCGAGAAAAACGATGTCAAGATCACTCCACATCGCGTACTCGGTGTCGTAGTACTTGGCTGCGGGGATCGCAGCCAGCAGCGGGCGTGCAGCCTCGGCATGTTCGAAGATTCGGACCTTCCCTAAGCAGGCCATGTAGCCCGAAAGAGAACTCAAGCTCTCAGTCCAGTTTCTTGGCAGTGTGGCATTCAGCGTGACTCCGCCAAAGGCACGGAAGATCCGGTCCAACTTAGCATCGTACCCGTTTATGTGCACGTGGACCGGGATCATCCCCCGGACCGTCTGCACGGTCTTCCACGACTGCAGCGCCACACGCGCAAACCTCCGGTAGATACTATGATTTCCCAGCTTCGAGTACGTGAACCACAGCATCGGCGGGTAGTACGACTTCGTGATGGCCGTCCTCATGTAGGTCTTCACAAGGATTTTGACTCGGAACGCGGTCGAGATGTGGCTCGACAAGATGATCCGGAAGTCGTACACGTACTTTCCGCACCTCGCAACTTCGTCTGCTGATGACCCAGCAAGGTCCACCTTCGTCATGGAGATGTTGTAGTCGGCGTCGACCTCGGGCAGGATCCGGCGCGGGGAGAGTATGTTGAACATCGCGGTGATGAAAACTAGTGAGTTGTGGTTCGTCACCAGCCGCCCACTGACATACTTGGGGTTGATCTCATGCACCTCCACGCAGTCCTTGGCCGCGTCAGCCGTGTGAACCTGAGAGCCGGTCCCCAATGCCACGGCTTGCAGCTTCAGATTCTCGCATGCTGACCACTTCAGCTCCGTGAAGGCATAGCCAGTGATGAGGGTGAGTCCGATGGCAAAGGCCAATCTCTGCCGGATCATCAAATCGCCTTCATGTGCTTGTGCCCCAAGCTGCAAAGCGCAGAGGCGAAGTCTGGGAAACAGCCGCAATCAGATGCCTACGAAGTGAGACAAGGCAACTCTGGGAATCGGAATGCGCCCCTTGGTGCCTCACACCGTCGGCCCAACAACCACAAACCCTTGGAAACCGGGGGTTAACTCGGGGATGCATATACAGGTGCTTGGGGCTCACCCTAAACCCTAAACCCTAAACCCTAACTGCGGGACAAGCCATCAGCTGCCGCCTTCATGGAGCACCCCAGCCGCCCAGCCATACAAAGTCAAAAGTGCCGCTCCTGCGCCGAATTTCCGGCTTGGACACATGGCTTGCAAGTCAACAAGTCTTCTCAAGCAAGGGGTCCTTTACGAATGTCTTCTGCCAGAAGTTGTGCAGGCTCCAAGAGGGTTTGTCTCTGATCAAGGATGCCTCTTGCGTTGCATCTATATCCCAACCTTCCACACCCCACGTCCCTGAGTATTCTATCGTGTAAGCTTCGGATATGGGGCATCAGGATCTCTCAAGTAAGCTTTTTGCGCTAAACCCTATTTCAGGCCTTGATCGTGCCTTGGGGCTCACGGATTCGGGGGGGGTTGACCGCATGTCAGGTAAGGGCTCCTTCCCAACTCCAACCTAAGCACAAACAAACCCTTAAACCCCGAACCCCACACCCAGAACCACCCAAACAAACCTAAATCCCACACTCAAAAAACCGTAACCCCCAAACCCGAAGCCCTAAGCAACTCCGCTCCCTCCTCCCAGTCGCCGCCGTCGGACTCGCTGCCCTCTCAGCCGACCCAGGACCTGGCACAAAGATCCACGCCACCGCAGCCACGGAAAAAAAATCTGGTTTAGGGGTTTGGGTGCTGAGTGTCTAGGGTTTTTTAATGGGCACGGTTTAGGGGTTGAGTTTTAGGATTTAGGGCTTATAGGGTTTGGATTTGAGGGTTTCGGGGCAAAGTTTAAGAGAGCTTCCGGGGCCGCTGTCCGGCTTTGCTGTTGGGAGTTTGCGGCGTTTGGGGCCTCTGAGGTTTGAGTTTTTTGGTGATTCGGCACTTTGTTCGCGTGGGGAAGGGAAGCTTAACGCTTGACCGTGTTTAGCATCGTACTGAAGATGGGTTCGGGCTGGGCTTCGTTCTGCTTGGAAGGTGGGAAACTTCCGATCCCAAGCCCTGAGAATCATCCATGAACCTTGAATCTCGTGCTTGGGGCCAGGCGGGACTCTTGGAAAGGAACTGTTCAGGCCCAAAGTGCACAAGTGGGGCACACGTCTTCTTCTTCGGAAGGTGCTACGTGTCGCAGCGGCGTCAGAAGCTCGCAGGAAACGGAGGCACCCGGAACTCGGATTCATGTTCTCCTACTACCTCAAAACCCAAAGCCAACATCTAGCTGAGCCCCGTGCAAAACTCTCATGAACCCTGGCCCCCGCAAGTGTCCCCGCCCCTCTTGGCTATTGCCAGGACTTCCTTCGGAACGTCAAATCAGTCTCTCGGAGCCGACCATCTTTCCCGCTTCGATACTCATCACTTGAGGAAGCTTATGGGGGCTCGGCACGGGCTCATAGTATCATAGCCAGCCAGGTGAAGCTGTAGTGGCCAAGGACGAGGCTCAGGTCGACGGTGTCTGATGCTCGGCTCTGAGACGCTGACATCTGCGCACTCCGCACATGGAACGATCGAGAGCTGCAAGAAGCACTGCCAGGCCCTCATTCTCCTGACTACGGAGCGAAGATGAGCGAAGAACACACTGTAATATTTTGAAATAGACCATAATGTAAAACATATATATATATATATGCAAGCAGATATACAAACTACAATATACTGTAGTGGCCCCATGCAAGTCTTCTCTGCAACTCTGCGACCGCGCCTGAAGCTGGGAGTTTCTTGGGCCGGAGGGTTCGATTTAGGGCTTTTGGGGTTTGGGGTTTAGAATGATGTGGAAGCGGGCTTGGCCCACTGGCCCCGAGCACCTCACGAAGATCGGCATCAGGGTCAAGAATCGAATCGGCTAAAATCTCAACCTCAGTAAGGCAGGTGGCCCGAAGTCCCTCGCTCTCGGGACCCCGCCGGGCCTTCCTCCGGTAGCTCTCGCGAGGGCCTGTGGTGGACAAGGCTTCGGCAAGCGCCGACCTGCGAACCGCCCAGGCCTGCTCGCACTCGGCGGAGATGTTGTTTCTGTAGAGGAAAATTTCGCAATCTGTTGTGTTGCTCTTCAGAGCCTCGGCAAGGGCCTCGCAGGGAAACGGGAAGACAGTGGTGGCCAATGCTGGTGGCCAGACCCCTCTGCCTGTGCCAATCCCTGGCACCACCGGGCCTTGACACCCTCATCGCCGATGCGGTTGAATTCGAGGTTGACGCTGGTCAGCGTGGAGTTCGTCCTCAACGCTTCGCCGATCGCCTCATGCGGGAAAGCAACCTTGCTTCAGCAGCACTGACCTGTCTGCAGCCCAACGGGCCTTGCCACCCTCCACGCCGATGCGGTTGCTTTGGAGGTTGATGCTGGTGAGAGTGGAGTTGCTCTTCAACGCTTCGCCGACAGCCTCACACGAAAAAGCAACCCTGCTGCAGCACCTCTCTGCAGCCCACCACGCCTTCCCACCCTCATCGCCGATGCTGTTCGATGCGAGGTTGATGCTGGTGAGCCTTGAGTTGTTCTTCAGCGCTTCGCGAATCACCTCACTTGGCAAAGCAACCCTGCTCGAGCAAAGCCAACCGCACCTCCGCACCCTCATCGCCGATGTAGCAGACTGCGAGGTTGATGCTGGTGAGCGTGGAGTTGGTCTTCAACGCTTCGCTAATCGCCTCACGTGGGAAAGCGACCCTGCGCCAGCAGCACTCACCTCTCTGAAGCCCACCGGGCCTCTACCTTTTTGACGACGTCGGCGCCATAAAGACCACAGCGCTCGAAGCTCAGCTTGCTGGGGTTGCAGTGTACGTTCAATCGCTCGGCGAGCGCCTACAGAGTAGAGGTTGAAGGCACGCGGCTTTTCCGGGGCCTGATGGCGGGCTCGGCACCGGTCCCCTATGCGCGCTCGTCCCGTCCAAGCCTTTCCAGCTTCCGGAGCCTTATCTGCAAAGCCCAAGCGGGCGGGCGTGGGCGCTGTTTAAATGTAGATCACTCAGAGCTTCACTGCGGCCGCACTTGCAGCCTGCCAATAACAATGCTTAGAACTTGCAATCTTGCCCGGCTCTCCCTCTGCAAGCTGTCATGGGTCCAGCATGCCAGATGCGGCTTCAAGCTATGTACTTGTAGGGGAATTACAGAGACAGCCTGGTCTGGGTGAAATCTTCTCCAGAACGAAGGCATCCCACAGCACGCACACGCATCATGTGAAGGCATGCACTCGAGAGCCTCGGCCGACCAAGAATCCACGAGTAGGCACCTCTTCCGCATCTCCGCAAGCACCTGGCGAGGAGGAGAACAAGCTCACGATTGAACGACCCGGGGGGCACATCACCGCCTGCTCGCTGATGTCGTTGCCTTCGAGGTTGATGCTGGTCAGGGTGGAGTTGCTCTTCAACGCTTCGCCAATCGCCTCACTCGGGGAAAGATACCCCGCTGCAGCAGCACTCACCTCTCTGAAGCCAACCAGGCCTTTCCACCCTCATTGCCGATGCGGTTGAAAGCGAGTTGCATGCTGGTGAGTGTGGAGTTGCTCTTCAATGCTTCGCCGATCGCCTCACGCGGGAAAAGCCATCCTTCACCAGCACTGACCTCTTTGAAGCCCAACGGGCCTTTCCACCCTCACCGCCGATGCCGTTGGCTTGAAGGTTGATGCTTCTGAGCGTTGAGTTGGTCTTCAATGCTTCGCCAATCGCCTCACTCAGGAAAGAAACCTGCTCCAGCAGCTCTGACCCGCCCGAAACCCTACCAGGCCTTGCCACCCTCCACGCGGATGCTGTTGCTTTCGAGGTTGATGCTGGTGAGTGTGGAATTGCACTTCAACGCTTCGCAGATCGCCTCACGCGGTAAAGAAACCCTGCTCCAGCAGCACTGACCTGTCTCAAGCCCTGCGGGCCTTGCAACCCTCCACACCGATGAGGTTCCATCCGAGATTGATGCTGGTGAGAGTTGAGTTGGCTTTCAACGCTTCGTTCATCGCCTCACTCGGGAAAGAACCCCTGCTTCAGCATGCTCCAGCAGCGCTGACCTGTCTGCAGCCCAACGGGCCTTCACACCCTCCACGCCGATTTGGCTGCTTTCGAGGTTGATGCTGGTGAGTGTGGAGTTGGTCTTCAAAGCTTCGCCGATCACCTCACGCGGGAAAGCAACCCTGATCCAGCAGCACCAACCGGTCTGAAGCCCAAAAGCCTTTAAGCCTTCACTTCAAGTCAATCTTGACTCCCCTGTGCCTCCCATAGAAAACCATGTTCATGCTCATAGCCAAAGCGTATCTCGACCTCTCGAATCGTCTTGTTCGAGGCCAGCGCCTGCCGTGCCCAATGCATGTGGACGGCCTAACAACTGCGAAGCCCGGCCTTCGCGAACTCCTCAGCCTCCGCCCGGCCCACCTCACAATCTCGGAGCCTCAGCGCCCGCAGCTTTTCGTAGTAAGGCAGGGCCTTTGCCAGCCGCCCCAGCTGCCCAAAGGGCAGACGCTCGAAGAGCGCTTCTTCGAACCCTGACACTTTCTGGAGGAAAACCTTGAACTGCAGCTTCTTCACCTCTTCGGCATCGGAGCGATGGGTGAAGGCTGCCGAATTCATCTCTTCCGCAAAAATCTCCGGAGCCATGGGCACTTTGCCCAGCATCTCTGGCTCTTTACACTCTTCCTCGTTGCTTTGTTGAGACACGGGAGCATCGATCCAGTGGTTCTGCTCGGATCTGCTCCGGGCCGAGGACCACTCCACCTCCGCCTTGCACCACCCACGCGTTCCGTAAAGAACCCGGTTCGCGACGAGCTCTTTTAGCGGGCGGTCTCGGACCGAAGTGCTTGCTGCGTCGTAAACTTTGACTCGATACTCCGGGTTCGCCAAGGCTGCGTTCCAGACATTATTTGGGGTGAGGCTTTCTATGCGGAAAGTCCGCGTGCACTGATGAGCGTACAGGACGTGCATGTCCTGCATGGACCGTCGAAAGCTCTCCTCTTCTGCTTGTCCCTCCCGCTTGAACTGAAACAGAGACACATAGTCGTAAAAGAGCCAGATGTCGGAAAAGTAGGCTGCATCGAAGAGAGACACGACGTCGACGAGGCACTTTAATTGGTGGGCGCATGGATCCGGATGCTCCCGGCTTTCCCAGGCATGGGACACCGAGCAGATCATGGCGTCTCGCGTTCCGGCGGCCCACGCCCCCACTTCTGCATGCGTCACCAGGCCCCACTCCTCCTTGACGTGGCTTGCGACAGGCGAAATTAGCCAGGAGGCAGGAAGAAGCACCACCATGCATCTGAGGCTGGGTCGGCTTCTTGGCGTCGGGGCAGAGTTCTCCTCGACTTCGCCAGCTCATACAAGTACCTCGTGCCGCTGATCCGACACCATATGTTTCTACTAGATCCCCAGTGGGCGCTCGGCGCCTCCAAAGACAAATTCTGGCGCCCCGTGACTTGGAAGATCACATCTCACTTTTCTAGAACATCCCTAGTGGGCACTCGGCCCGGACCAGGCGGATGTTGGCATGTTCGAGGTGCTCAGCCAAGCTCTTGGGATCCGTCAAGCCGTACTGGGCCTGGGGCATTGAACACTCGAAGAGAATCCCGCATCCTGCATGCAAGCACGCACACGCTGCATCGCATGAAATCCTGCACCCCTTCCGGTCGAAAGCTGCGACCGGAGACCACAGGACTCCCTGGGCCGGCGGCGGAGGTGGATGAAGGCGACTCCGGAGCCTTCAACTCGGGATTTGAGCTGTCATGACCCAGACTTCTGTACTTCTACCTTAACCGACCAAAACCTACTTTTTTGTAGGGTCCCTATAAATCCCTTATTAGGGTTTGTAATAATAACCTACAAAAAAGTAGGTTATGGTAGTTTAAGGTACTTCTATCACCATGGTACACCGCCTCTCCAATCGGAACAGCTCAGCTACACTCAAGTTTGAGATCTGGGAAATACCATCGAGCGCAGAAGGAGAAACCAGACACCCACCCCTTCGAGAAAACCTCTCTGGCTCCTGTGGTTTCTGCACTGCCCAGCCACCCAAGACCATCCCACGGCCGAAGTCACCACCTCCACGAGCTCGAACCACACTCGACAAGGACGGAAGGCACGACAAAAGATGCTAAGATGCTTCGGGGACGAGGTGGAAACTCGAAAGCTCTCCCCACCAAAGTCTGAAACGACCCTGGCAGTCAGCGCGCGTGAACTCTGGACCCAAATCCGGTCGCCTCCGCTTTCACTCCCTACAAGCATCTCCCCTGACCCCAAATATACATGCTGAACCGGGAAGGATCCTCCCCAGAACCTTGAAACCTCACAGAACCAGGAGCCCCAAAACCCGGAAAGATCGATCTCCCGCAAAACCCCTGGCATCCTCACCTCAGAACCTCCGAAACCTCTCAACCCTCAAACGAACAAGCCTAATCCGCCGAAATCCTGCAAAAACTCCCCCCAAAGCCTGCCCAGTTCAGATACATCCCTTAAACCTCAAACCTACACCAGTACAATCCGGCAAACACTTCGCCCCCACCCATACGACCCCTGGCCTTTGATAGCTGGGCCTTGCCTCGAATTGGATTCACAAGGGCGGCTCCCGAGCTTAAAGGGCTCATGGGCGTGAAAATAGGGGCCTGAATGACTGGAATAGGGTTTTGGGCTCCTGTGTAGTAGCCTTATCATAAAGAACCCTCAGGAATATTCTTGATAATTATTTAGGCTTCTATGGTACCGGGGGGGGGCGGTTTGGGGCTTTGCCGCTTTCGGATTTTGGAGCTTTGGAGGCTTTCCGGGTTTGGGCTCTAGGGGGTCCGTGTGGGACGGTTGATGATATAAATCCTGCATTACCTTAAGGACCCCAAACTATGGGAATTATGGTATATTCCTTACTATGGGTCATGCAGGATTTCTATCATCAACCGGAGGACTGCAGCTTGGGGCCCCTGGGGTTGGGACAGGCTGGAGGTGCTCAGCTTGGGGCTTCGGGGCTGCAGAGCCGATGCTTCCGTCGAAAGACTGTCCAAGGACCCATGACTGACGCCTTGGGGGTGTGCTTTGGGGGTCAGGGCTTCTGGATCTCGGGGGTTTTGGGGGGGGAATTGGGAAGTAGGGTTGAAAAGCTCACACCTTTGGTTTTGACTGGCTCCGGGTTTCCTCAAGTTCAAGACGTAGGGTCTAGGGTTTGGGGTTGAGGATGTAGGACCTGCGGAGAGTTGGAGCTCACAGCTACGCGCTTCCGAGTCCGAAAGCGACCAGCCGCTTGGGACCACACCGAAACATGGTTACCGGCTTGTAAGGTTTAGGCATTGTTATTATTGTTATTAATGTTATTATTGTAGTATTGTTATTATTATAGTACTATTAGGCTTAAAAAGGACAACGATGGCTGGGAGGCAGGCCGAAGCCGCTGGCAGAAGACATGCAGAGCTCGAGGATCGATGAGATCAAGGAGATGTCTATCAAAAGGATACTTGTGATCCCGACAAACCTTGAGCCACACAGCGGCTATTCAGCGAGCTTTGGTGGCAACAGTTGGGATTGCGGTCCTTCAAACTCAAAATCCCTGCGTTTGTCAGCCCGGAGAGGGGGAGAGCACAGCATCTGACGCCCTTGCAAGAATCGTGTCGAATCCGAGCCTCGAGCCCAGCAGGCCCAGCATCAAGGATTTACACCTGGCGCCGGAGGCAAGAAGCTGCCAAACAAGTCCAAAGCTCAAAAGATCCCGTCGTGCTGGACTCTTGGCATGTCTGGTGCTTGTGCCTACACCCCTAAAGCATGTGCATCAGAGTGTGCGTCAGTATCCCGCGCTCCCAAGAACAACGAGAGGTCCGTAAAATGTAGCATTGTTGCATAGAAGGTTCATGCATGGCTGCTGCTTTTTTGGCTTTTTGCTTCGAGGACTGGGGCGGCGTCGACAGCGGAAGTAGCGGGCCAAGGGCGACGCAAACACACAAAGAATGAACAACCTTTCTCTCGCGGTCGTGCGAAGAGCTTCTCCGCGAAGTGGGGCTTTTTTAGATTTCGAGGCTTCGGCCCTCCTAGGCTTGGAATCCAAAGGGCGCAAGGGGCGCTTCTTTTTGTGTCGTCGCAGGCAGCAGAGCTGGAGGTCAGCGCGTGCGCTCTCGGCGTCCTTCCAATTCCAAGAGATGCGATCGAATTCGGCCAAGCTTGGGGGCAAAACGCCCGGGGAGTGATACATGAAGCCTGAACAACATGTCATATTACTAGTAGAAATAGTAGGTAGAGAGCCGTTTCATAAGGCATCCACAGATGCAGGCCCCCGTGCTGCGGCAGAAGCAAGGTGAGGAGGGACTGAGGCAAGACATTCGGCACCCGCTTCCACTGCCACCCAGATATTCGCAAGTGCTTCGCACGTTGTTCCCCAGGATGCTACAGGATCTTGGTGATACTACTCTGGCTTTCAACAAGGGACCTTTCGCCGGAAGAGCGAGTCCACCTTTGAATTGCCTCCTAGTTCGTTCTCTCTAGGCGCTGTGAGGGCGCACCCAAACTCAGAAAACCCCACCTCCAAACCTCTACTGCCTTTAGGAAACACCTGCGAAAGTCCCAGACCAAGACTTTGAGCCCTCTCAAAGCCTCGTGCAGCAGGTCCGAAGTGCCCCAGTCCCTCTAAAAGCTCTGATCCTCTTCGAGCCCAGCGTCTTCGCCTTTCTTTTGAGACTCCGCTAAACGCTCCTTTAAGGGCTCCTTCAAGGATTCCGTTCAAGGGGGCTCAGGCGCTTAAGGGTTCAACGATGTTCGACGCCTCATGGCTGGGTCGCAGGCAGAAGAGCTTGAGGCATGCACATGGGCTTCGCGGCATCCAGCCAATTCAAAGAGATACGATGCCTCTGCCGGAGGTTTCGGCGAGAGACCGGTGAATTCGGCCCAGCTTGGGGGCAAAATGCCCGGGGAATGATACATGAAGCCTGAAACAACATGTCATATTACTAGTAGAAATAGTAGGTAGCGAGCGGGTTCATAAGGCATCCACAGATGCAGGCCCCCGTGCTGCGGCAGAAGCAAGGTGAGGAGGGACTGAGGCAAGACATTCGGCACCCGCTTCCACTACCACCCAGATATTCGCAAGTTTCTTGAGGCCCCGCACGCTGTTCCCCAAGATGCTACTGGAACTTGGTGATGCTACTCTGGCTTTCAAGAAGAGGCTTCGCCGCAAAAGAGCGAGCCCACCGTTGAATTGCCTCCTAGTTCGTTCTCTCTAGGCGCTGTGAGGGCGCACCCAAACTCAGAAAACCCCACCTCCAAACCTCTACTGCCTTTAGGAAACACCTGCGAAAGTCCCAGACCAAGACTTTGAGCCCTCTCAAAGCCTCGTGCAGCAGGTCCGAAGTGCCCCAGTCCCTCTAAAAGCTCTGATCCTCTTCGAGCCCAGCGTCTTCGCCTTTCTTTTGAGACTCCGCTAAACGCTCCTTTAAGCGCTCCTTTATAAGGATTCCGTTCAAGGCGGCTCAGGCGCTTAAGGGTTCAACGATGTTCGACGCCTCATGGCTGGGTCGCAGGCAGAAGAGCTTGAGGCATGCACATGGGCTTCGCGGCATCCAGCCAATTCAAAGAGATACGATGCCTCTGCCGGAGGTTTCGGCGAGAGACCGGTGAATTCGGCCCAGCTTGGGGGCAAAATGCCCGGGGAATGATACATGAAGCCTGAAACAACATGTCATATTACTAGTAGAAATAGTAGGTAGCGAGCGGGTTCATAAGGCATCCACAGATGCAGGCCCCCGTGCTGCGGCAGAAGCAAGGTGAGGAGGGACTGAGGCAAGACATTCGGCACCCGCTTCCACTACCACCCAGATATTCGCAAGTTTCTTGAGGCCCCGCACGCTGTTCCCAAAGATGCTACTGCATCGTGGTGATGCTACTCTGGCTTTCAAGAAGGGACTCTTCGCCGCGGAAGAAAGAGTCCACCTTTGAATTGCCTCCTAGTTCGTTCTCTTTAGGTGAGGGCGCACCCAAACTCAGAAAACCCCACCTCCAAACCTCTACTGCCTTTAGGAAACACCTGCGAAAGTCCCAGACCAAGACTTTGAGAGATCTCAAAGCCTCGTGCAGCAGGTCCGAAGTGCCCCAGTCCCTCCAAAAGCACTGATCCTCGTCGAGCCCAGCGTCTTCGCCTTTCTTTTGAGACTCCGCTAAACGCTCCTTTAAGCGCTCCTTTATAAGGATTCCGTTCAAGGCGGCTCAGGCGCTTAAGGGTTCAACGATGTTCGACGCCTCATGGCTGGGTCGCAGGCAGAAGAGCTTGAGGCATGCACATGGGCTTCGCAGCATCCAGCAAATTCCAAGAGATACGATGCCTCTGCCGGAGGTTTCGGCGAGAGACCGGTGAATTCGGCCCAGCATAACGTGTGGCGAAGCCTCAAACGTCATAGAGGGTCTTCACCATAGAGGGTCTTCACGACCAAACAAACCTCCGCAAGTCAGAAAGCAAACGCAGCAACTCGCTAGGCCATGTCCCTCTCGGGAGCCCGGGCCTGCCCCCAGTGACTCTTTCGAGTGCCTTCGGAGGACAAGGCTTCGGCAAGCGCCGATGAGCTGCGAACCACCCGGGCCTCCTCGCACTCGGTGGAGACGTTGTTAAGCTCAAGGTAGATTTCGCAAACTGTTGTGTTGCTCTTCAGAGACTCGGCAAGGGCCTCGCAGGGAAACGGAAACATGACCCCTCTGCCGAGCTCCAAAGCCGCCGGGCCTTCACACCCTCATCGCCGATGCGGTTGCCTCGGAGGTTGATTTAGGTGAGCGTGCAGTTGGTCTTCAAAGCTTCACCAATGGCCTCAAGCGGGAAAGCGACCCTGCTCCAGCAGCACTTACCTGTCTGAAGCCCACCGGGCCTTCACACCCTCATCGCCGATGCGGTTGCCGTCGAGGTTGATGCTGGTGAGCGTGGAGTTGGTCTTCAAGGCTTCACCAATGGCCTGAATCGGGAAAGCGACCCTGCTCCAGCAGCACTGACCTCTGAAGCCCACCGGGCCTTCCCACCCTCATCGCCGATGTGGCTGCCTGGAGGTCGATGCTGGTGAGGGTGGAGTTGGTCTTCAAAACTTCGCCGATCGCCTCACGCGGGAAAAGCCATCCTTCACCAGCACTGACCTCTCTGAAGCCCACCGGGCCTTCCCACCCTCATCGCCGATGTGGCTGCCTCGGAGGTCGATGCTGGTGAGGGTGGAGTTGGTCTTCAAAACTTCGCCGATCGCCTCACGCGGGAAAAGCCATCCTTCACCAGCACTGACCTCTCTGAAGCCCACCGGGCCTTCCCACCCTCATCGCCGATGTGGCTGCCTCGGAGGTCGATGCTGGTGAGGGTGGAGTTGGTCTTCAAAACTTCGCCGATCGCCTCACGCGGGAAAAGCCATCCTTCACCAGCACTGACCTCTCTGAAGCCCACCGGGCCTTCCCACCCTCATCGCCGATGTGGCTGCCTCGGAGGTCGATGCTGGTGAGGGTGGAGTTGGTCTTCAAAACTTCGCCGATCGCCTCACGCGGGAAAAGCCATCCTTCACCAGCACTGACCTCTCTGAAGCCCACCGGGCCTTCCCACCCTCATCGCCGATGTGGCTGCATGCGAGGTTGATGCTGGTGAGCGTGCAGTTGGTCTTCAAGGCTTCACCAATGGCCTCAATCGGGAAAGCGACCCTGCTCCAGCAGCACTGACCTCTCTGAAGCCAACCGCGCCTTCATACCCTCATCGCCGATGTGGTTTTCATAGAGGATGATGCTGGTGAGCGTGGAGTTGGTCTTCAAGGCTTCACCAATGGCCTGAATCGGGAAAGCGACCCTGCTCCAGCAGCACTGACCTCTGAAGCCCACCGGGCCTTCCCACCCTCATCGCCGATGTGGCTGCCTCGGAGGTCGATGCTGGTGAGCGTGCAGCTGCTCTTCAAAACTTCGCTGATCGCCTCACGCGGGAACAGCGACGCAACGGGGTACGCTAGCGGCACCGGGTCTGGAACTCCCGAGCCTCGGCAAAATCGGGTCCATCACCCATGTCACAAAATATGCCCAGCTCGCCGAGGTTGCAGTGCTGGTTCAACTTTTTTGCGAGATCCTGCGGACCGAGTGTGGAGGCATGGGGCTCCACCCGGAGTCTGATGGCGGGCAGGGCACCGGTCCTTTATGCGCACTCGTCCCGTCCGAGCCTTTCCAGCTTCCGCGGCCTCTGCAGAGCACATTTGGATGTACAGCACTCAAGGCTGAACCATGGCTGTACTTGCAGCCTGCCAGCAATGGTGAACTTGCAATCCGGCCCTTAGAAGCACGCACTCGCATGCCAGGTGTCCCCTGTACAAGCTGTCATTGGTCCAGTATGCCAGATGTGGGTACAAGGCTTGCACCCGGCGGCAGTCACAGAGACTGCCTTGTGCGGGTGAACTCTTCAAAACAAAGGGGCGCAATGGGGCGCATATACACTTTTGATATCGGACTGCAAGCGACAGCACACGCAGGTATGCCATGGTATGGCCCAGAGCCTCGGCCGACCCAGCGAGTAGGTCCTTCCTTTGTGCAAGCACCTCGCAGGGAGAAGAAACACGCTCAAATTCGAACCATTGAGCCAGATCAAGGCCTGCTCGATGCTGTTGTTGCGATAGAGCTTGATGCTTCTGAGCGTGGAGTTGGTCTTCAAGGCTTCACCAATGGCCTCAATCGGGAAAGCAACCTTGCTTCAGCAGCACCGACCTCTCTGAAGCCCACCGGGCCTTCACACCCTCATTGCCGATGAAGTTGCCTTTGAGGTCGATGCTGGTGAGTGTGGAGTTGGTCTTCAAAGCTTCGCTGATCGCCCCAGTGGGAAAGTAACCCTGTGCCAGCAGCACCGACCCGTCTGCAGCCCACCGGGCCTTGCCACCGGAAATGCCGATCCAGTTGTGTTCGAGGTTGATTTCGGTGAGCGTGGAATTGCACTTCAACGCTTCGCAGATAGCCTCACGTGGGAAAGCAACCCTGCGCCAGCAGCACCGACCTCTCTGAAGCCCACCGGGCCTTCACACCCTCATCGCCGATGCGGTTGCCTTTGAGGTTGATGCTGGTGAGTGTGGAGTTGGTCTTCAAGGCTTCACCAATGGCCTCAATCGGGAAAGCAACCTTGCTTCAGCAGCACCGACCTCTCTGACGCCCAACGCGCCTTGTCAGCCTCACCGCCAATGCAATTGCCTCGGAGGTTGATGCTGGTGAGCGTGGAGTTGGTCTTCAAAGCTTCACCAATGGCCTCAATCGGGAAAGCAACCGTGCTTTGAAGCAGCACCGACCTCTCTGAAGCCCAACGGGCCTTCACACCCTCATCGCCAATGCGGTTGCCTAGGAGGCTGATTTCGGTGAGCGTGGAGTTGGTCTTCAAAGCTTCACCAATGGCCTCAATCGGGAAAGCGACCCTGCTCCAGCAGCACCGACCTCTCTGAAGCCCACCGCGCCTTGCCACCCTCCACGCCCTGAGGGTCCGAGTGCTCAAATGTTGCCACCTTGTCTTAACTTGTGCCCAGAAAGGAATTGTCCTCCAGGATGGTTTCGTGCTTTTCTGCTATTATGTATATATATATATAATTATATAAAATAGTATAATATATTAATACTTATATAATAACATGGACATATCTATATAGCTAGGTACATGCATGCTGGATATCGCACACATGAATAATTGGTCATGCTGCTTGTTCTTTCTCCGGGCCGATGCGATTTTGGGTTGATCTAGTTCGATTAGTTTCATGGGACACACCCACTCCAGAACCCCGGCAGAAAGCCTTGAATTCAATTCCCTTATTATGCGATCCAGACCCCTGAACTCAACAATTAAACCCCGGCAGAAAGCCCTGAATTCAATAAACCCCATGCCCTTAAGCTATCCTGACCCCTCAACTGAAGAAACCCAGAGCGCTTAATTTAGGAGCTTGGGTGAAATCTATAAACATATGCCCTGAACTCAACAAACCCAGAACCCTTGACACCACATTAGACCAGAACCACTGCTAACCAGTCTAGATAAACCACGCCATTAATTGGTAATTAGTGCAATGCTGCGGGCATCCCTTCGCTTTCAGAAGCGGCATGGGAACTCGAAAGGTGCTCCCACCGTGCCGCCACTGTGTGTTCGGGGGGTCGTGCGATCGCGAAGCTGTGATGTGTCGATTGTCGAATTTGGTCGCAGCTTCGAAGCAATGCAGTGTGAGCTTGATGAGAGCTGTCATGTGGCATGCATAGCAAAGCACTTTGCAAGCGGTACATATATATGCTACTCCCTACCTGCGACTATGCAAAACATTTCGTCACAGTCTCTTTTCGCATTTGTCCTCGACTACCTCTTCTAGCTACCTGGTGTGTGGTCAGCCATGGCTGGTGGGATTCAGCGGCAATTCAGTCAGCCGATGAAATATTTCCTGACGGATCCTAGCTGCATGTGGCTACATCTGTGCTATGCAAAATCATGTTGCAAAGTGTGTGTAGCTGTACATGGGTACATCTCTGACAAAGCAAAGGAAGGGGCCGAGATCGTGGCGAAGGGTGTCCGACCATATATGGACCAAATTATGGAGAGCCTGAGGGCCACGGAAGCACCTCGGCCCTGATCATGCACACTTAGCTGCAATATGCATCTAATCCGACACAGCTTCCTGCCGAGGCAAAGCAGCTGACCCGCGAATCTGAGGATGATAAGCATGGGAGCAGCAAGGTGAGATCCCGTGTGTAGGTGTGCGGGGATCCTCGAGTGGTGATTGAATTCTAGTCTGCTGGCCGAGGTGTCTGATGCGGATTTCATTGCAAATTACGATTTGATGAAGATCTTCATTGCCAACAGCATCACTCCGGAACTCGGGATTCCGGTGCTGAAAGACTTTAGAGTGTCTCGTCATTCTCGTTACGGCCCTTGTAGCTTTCAGGTATGGGAACATGTTAGATTCATCCAAGGTGGCACTGATCCATCTATCATGTGTCCACGGCCTGCACCCAGAAGTTCGCAAACGAGGGGGCAAACAGGTGGTCAAGGTGCTCGCCGCATGTTCGTAATTCGTGTGCTACGACTATCTATGCTTGATCTGGTATGCTTGTCCAGGACTGGGCTTTCGGTGAAGCTGGACGGCTCAGAGGGCTTTTGTCGGCCCTCTCAAGGGTCACTCTCAGGACTCTGAATGCTAAGATTTTCGGTTGCAAGTTTAGTTACTATGGTCAGCTGTATTCATTCATATTGCATGTGTTCGTTTCCTTCCGCATGATCCTATATTCGATTCCAAGGTCGAAGAAAACAGCAGTGCTGAAAAAAATGTTCGCCATCAAAATGCAGTGGGTGACGGAGGATGGAGATTGGATCCCCGGTATCGTTGCTTGCATGCATATACAGCTTATTATAGATGCAATTTTGCGAACATTAATCCCAATCGAGGTCTGCAAAGCTTGTCGGGTCCGTAGTTTGTTCAATGGAGTAGGTTATTGCATATATATATATATATACTAGGTATAGCAGTAGCTGGTGATTGGATTTTGCTAGCTTCGAAGCTCCCCGAAAGCTTTCTCTTTTCGACTATCGCACTTGGCATCTGAGGTCGACGATGCCCCCGCCGATGAGCCTGATCAGGGATCCGGAGAGCCGGCCGACGACAGCGATCACGATGATGATGATAGCGGGGGTTCTGCATGTTCTGCTTCAAGGGGCGATGACAAGCTTGTTCCCCGAAGCCTAGAGGCTGCCACTAGTCTTATACTTAAGCTGCATGTATGGCTGCAGAAACATGTCCCAGTCACCGTCTAGTTTGAGTTCGTTCAAATTCAGAACATGTTAACATAATCCAACATACCGACTTGCAAGGACTTGGATCGCGAGATGCACCGGCTCTTATCCACTCAGTCCCTCAGCAAGGATGGAGACGATCTTCGGGGTTGTGCCAGCCCCATTGTTACTAGGCATTATTATTGCATTTGGCTTCATTGACCAATGCATGTTCATGGCCATGGTCATCGTGGTGGTATATACCTAGCTAGCTGACATAGCTGGTGATCTCAGGATCTGCCGCCCGACTTGATGTCTGCCCTGGAGATGGAGATCGACGACGATGGACAATTTGCAGGGCCCGATGTGCCTAGATTAATTTTAACATCGTTTGCAGTACCCAGTCTGAATCCGAATTTGCATATCTGCAGTGGCACAAGCTAGCTAGAGCCGTACCCTACGTATACCAAGGATGTGCCACATCCCTCGGATGTTCTGACGGCAAAGGAAATGGAGGAATTCGAGGCGCAGATCTCTATCCCGGCCAAACCCCAAGCCCCGAAACCAAAAGTAGGCCCAGGCACCCGCTAGTTGGACAATGCCACCAGGACGAACTTCGCGATGCCCACGCTGCCAAGAAGAGCAAGGAACCGAAGGCGACCTGCAAGCAAGCTTGCTGGGGTTAAACCCGAGCATTTCAACCGTCAAGCCCGAACCCGAACACTGGTCCTACACCCTAAACCTTTAACCTTAAGCTCTAAACCCCGGGCACCCTAGAACTTTCAATCCCTAAGCTCTAACACCGGGCTTAAACCCTAAACCTTGAACCTTAAGCTCTAAACCCCGGGGCTTACACCCTAGAACTTCTAAACCCTAACTCTAACACCTGGCTTAAACCCGCCCTAAACCTTAACTTTAAAATCCCAAAACCCGAACACTGGGCTTAAACCCTTAACCTTCAACCTTAAACCCCCAGCCCTATATGACTTAAACCCCAAGCCGCCTGATTATAAACCATTCAGGACCGGAAACCTCTGGTGCCAACTACGGCGGATCTTCCAGATGAGCTTAAGGACCTTCTTAATATGGATGGGTTCAATGAAAGCGAGGAGGTCGAAGCAAACTCCACCCTCTTGAAGCAAAGGGAGATCAAGGCAGCAGAGGCAAAGAAGGCCCGATTAACATAATTGCTACATATATAGAGCAGAGTACTGCTAGCTAGCGATTGTTCATCACAGTCTGTGCAGGCAGCTGCTCCAAAGTCAAAGGGCGGCAAGGGTGGCGGCAAGCTGAGGCGAAAGCTGTCAGTGCTTGAAGAGAAGGACCCCGTGGCTACGCCACCGGCAGCTGTAAGGGAGGCCCCAGGGAGTGATCCCCTTCAGAAGAAGCCTCGAGGAGCACGGGGTAAGGGGAAAGGCAAGGGCCGTGGGGCCCACAAGAAGGGTGAGCAGCACGAGGACAACAAGCCAGAGGAGTCCGCAGACAAGGGTGAGCAGCACGAGGACGAGAAGCCAGAGGAGTCCGCAGACAAGGGTGAGCAGCACGACGAGGACGAGCCACAGGAGTCAGCAGACAAGGGTGAGCAGCAGGACGAGGACAAGCCAGAGGAGTCCGAAGACAAGGGTGAGCAGCAGGAGGACAAGCCAGAGGAGTCAGCAGACAAGGGTCAGCGGAGGGGACGTCGCAAGAAGCTGACTCCTGCACAGGAGGCAGCTAGTATCAAGTCCCGGGCCCTCGCAGACAAGAACCTGGCAATCGTGAGGTCCTTGGCCGTGAAGCACCCGGAGTTGCAACCACAGGTGGGATTTTCCGGTAAGACACTAGGCTACATAGTGAGCGACCACGACAGTTTATGTTGCAACCTGCGAAGATCGTGCTCGTCTTGCGAGTGGAAAACTCAACCTATCTAAGGAGCTATACTGTTTGGCCACCTCGTGGCGAAGTGGACAACCCCGAGATCAATCCAATCACAGTTGCTTTGTACACCGGGTGCTACTATGTGCAGCGATGTGTCAAGAAAAGCGATGCCAATGTTCGTGGTGCATCTCGACTTATAAATAGACATGATCAAATCATGATGTAATTATCCGTACGATTAAAATAACCTATGATCATGAAAGTATAGTTGCCTCCCAGGTGAACGTGGACACGAAGAAGGGAGGCTCCACGGTGTCCTGGTTGAAGCACAGAGGTGCCTCCAGGGCGCCACTGGACAGCAAGTGAGAAATGTTCAATAGATGCACATGTCTTGGGAAATAGATCTAGAGTAACCAGCTTCTGAAACCAAGATGGCTGTTGGCTACCTTCCTGGCCGGGTGGCTTGGAGATGTGGACCCGCTGGACAGCGAAGATGAAGAGGATCATGATGATGCTTGGTTGCATTTTGCCTGTTTCTAGTCGAGCCAGTGTGTGTCTGAACCCCAGACAACAAGCCTGAACCCAAATAGGCTTTGCTAAGTAATAAGTAATTAGAAATTTATGGTTTTCCTTAAAATGGGTTGGGTCATAATAATAGATAGTACGATCTATTATTATAATAATGTTAGAGGGAGGAAAGCAAAGCCTGGAATCAGTACGTATACCATACCGTGCACAGTCTGGTTCAGGGCGCCGGCACTTATTTGTTAGTTGGGGAAATCCAATCTCAAGTCCCGTGCCACACCCATGCACGGTGTCACCGGATGGGTGCATGCCCCACTTTCGGGATTAGGGTTCTTTGTGCTATAATAAGATACATTCCTGACAATGACCCGTCATAAC